GAGTGTTTCCTAGACGCACACAAGCTATCTCCGTGTTAAGCTCTTTCAAGAGGCTGTGAAGCCACCGGAAAACCGGACGGTTTTTAAGCATGGCCGGAATCATTCCGACGATCGGAAAACCGGTGGGACCCGGCGGGAGAGGTCGCAGTTTCTTGCTTTGTGAAGATGACTTTACTTTCTTGTATATCAGCAAGAGGGAAATGACCACAAGAGCTTGGAGTGTCGTGAGGAGATACATGTTGCTAAACGGCAACGTTTGGGGGCTAGACTTGGTCGTGAGATCCGAGGAGTTTGAAGCTAAAACCTCCATTTGTAAGAGAAGAAAAAGAAGAAGAAGAAGAAACAATGTGTTGTGTGATTCTAATTGTCTCTGCATGGATCTTTCTTCCACCTTGTTATTTATAATGTAACACTGTAACAGGTAGGTCAATATGAAATGACGGTAATAACCCTCTATATGTGGCGGGGAGGAAGCAGTGTGGAAGGTATTGTGTTGGACCGACTTGGTCTCTCTCTCTAGCTAGTGATGAGTGTCATCCATATTGAAATTTGTACGACTAACATCCAAGCAAAAAATGTAATTAGGAAAATAATAATATTATTGTAACAGATAGATAGATTAATACATTTAAAAATCATTTTGTTGGTGACCTGCCAAGAATCCTCGTTTTATATATGCATACATGCACTAGCAATCCTGCAAAAACAGAATTTTCTACGGACCGATGGTTATTCAACATGCACTATTTGGGGTAAATTTATCATGTCTTACTATTTTGAGATTTCATATTAGCTCTTGATAATATATATACGAATATTGTTGCTACGTTACCGTGCATATATATTGAAACTTAAATAGTGCATCCTACTGAAAAAATATACAAAATTATAGTTCACCTCATATTATCTAACCAAATAGTTTTCAACTGATTGAACTAACCCTAATTAGATTACGTCACATAGTAATTAGTATATTTGGTTAGGTCTATTTTTATGTCTCCACAAATTATGTTATCGTCTATAATTAATAGATATAGATATGCCACATTCAATATCAAAATGGTAGACGTCTTTTTTTGTGAAGTACAACAGTTTATGTATATGTCTTCTTCAACTTTTTGTAGATAGACAAGTGTAATCTATAATGAAAAATATTGGTATAGTTGAGTTTCACCTGCCAAAATGCCTCGTGGAATTGATGATCTTGGTCGTTGGAGAATGAAGGAAGTTACGAACTAATGCCAAGGTCAATTATGCTGGTGGCCCCATACACGTGCATATTAGCTACCACGCCGTTTTTGGAGTTTTAGTAATTTTACGCGAAGACGATTCCGATTTCCGACAAAAGTTGTTTTTTTTTTGGTAAATATACAAGAGGTAAAAGATTGGCAACGGTAACATACATCATACATACAAAAGAGAAACGTGAGCTTCACGTGGTGCATAGATCGAGTTGAGTCCGATCTTTTTTTAATAAATAGTGTGGAGCTACATGGGAAAGGGAGGGGCAGTTGCTAACTTGCCCCATGACATTTTAAAATTTAGTGTAATTCCTATAAGATGAAAATAATTTATGCCTTAGGTGAAAATAATTTCTTGATCCGCCAGTGGTGATAATCGTAATATACGTGTGTGAATAACTGAATATATTGATGCCTAAAAAAATATATTGTTCATGACATAGCTATAGATTTGAACACCATTTACCAACGGATGAATAATAGGTTATAGGGCGAGTATAGATAACTGAGAGACTAATACCCGCGCGACAACGAGTACAGATATTCAGATACCGGTCCATACGTACATACCTAAATAATTGGCCAGTGCGTGTTTAACTAAGAAAACAACATTATTTGGTGAGTTTATGTTTACTTAAGAAAAGCAAAATATTTGGTGAGTGTATGTTTAATCAAGAAAAGCAATTAATTTGGGAGAATTTATGTTCGACTAAAAAAAAAAAAAAGGCAAGGTTCCATTACAATTAGGGATGATGTTATGGCCTTATGGTTAGCTAGCTTAGACGATCTTTAACTATAAAAAGCTAGCCTAGACGAAATGATTAATTTTGTTTTAGTTTTTTTAATTTCGTCTGACCTTTGGAGCCGCAAACTATATCCATTATTGTATTCAAAATTTTTGTATGGCAAGACTAAGATATTTCAACTGAAAACAATGTGCTAAACTGCCCTGATCAGCAAAACGAGATTTAATGGCTAATGTAATCATTAAACAATATGGCTACTTTAGATTTTTACCTACCAACCTTCTAAGGTACGGCACGTGATCTAAAGCCACTAAATGATAATTTACTGCAAATAAGGTTTTAGTCTATCAAATAAAAAGAAAACTTGTATCCAATACAGGATTATACGAAGTGACCCACACATAGTTTAGTTGTTCGAGAGAAGGATCGAATCCGATTTTTCTTTCCTTCTTTTGTTCTTAATAACGGTTGGATTTATCACAAAGAACCCTTTTGATAAACAAAAACGAAAGGGTACAATTACAAGAAAAAGATGTAAGAGTAGACTGAGGTCTGCCACATGCTCGCCTTGGTGGCGTTACCTGGCAGTTTCGTGTTATGGACAAAAGGTGAATGATTTTGAGAATTTTGTTTTCTCCGATAAGGGAACTAGTTGCACTATATTTTTCTCTCTTTCTTTATAAATATGGAATTGAAACATTTGTCGTCCAGTTGCCATGATTTTGCGTTGCCTTTCAGTTTTAAATTGATTCTTTACCAAAGAAGATTTTTAATAAATTTGTTATTTCTCTGATCTAACTGTTTACCAATATGAAAAAATAGACAAAGATATCAACCAATAAAAGAAGACAATCATAAAAAGCAGGTTTCTTAATTAGGTGCTGTTTTGGGTCTACCTCACAACCTTAATCAGTTAATCTTCTGAATTCGACGCAAAAAAACAAACAAATATCAGCAATATGCAAAAACAACACATTTTACACAAATGATCACGACATGGTTGATAGTCAATTTTGTATCAAATCATATACTAAACAGCTTTCTATAAACCAACGACGACCAACTTTACATATTCTAAACTCTTTTCAGATTCGGAATGTCACTTTGTAATATATAGCGTAAATCATGGATGCGATATTAGAGTTTGATAAAAAAAAAGTGCATTGATTGTATAAAGCGTAGATTGTAGTATTCTTTAAGTAAATATATGGGTTAGCTGATGGCAGCTATTAAAGGTACTGTATGTCATGAGATTGTTAATAATAGATTAGGCAGCAACCATTAGTAGATATTTGGATACAATTGTCACTATATGTGCGTACTAAGCATGAAGTAAACGTGCTCCAGCTACCAAAGCCCACCTGTTAAAATTTCAGCATTCCTTATTGTATTGCAATTTGCTTCAGTTTCACTATGCATGGCCAAATTGCTTTGGTTAAGATGGATGAAATGCGATTTTGATCTAGGCTAATCGCGGAGTTCAAAATTCGTATGGATAGAAGCATTAAACTTTTTCTATGTGGTTCTGGACTTTGAACTTTCATTCTGTACGTAGCGTTCTAAAGAACTCCAAACTTTCTGTTGCTGCTGAGCCAAGTCTTGAAACTTTTAATGAGGTTGCGGAAAACTAGATTTCAACACGACACATTTCATATCAATCAATGAAACGTTTTCACATGAAAATAATATGTGCAGCATATTATATCGAAGTATATATAATTATTTTTTGTTTGTTTTGTCCACCATGAGAATTTAACAAAAACATAATTAAAAAGAAAGTAAACCTTTAGAAGTTTAACAATAGACTGATAAAGCGGCTTTTGTGCAAAAACAAATTTTAGCATTAATTAAGTTTACCTTTCCTAAAATTACTTAGTCTCAAAACTCAGTGACAGCCAATTTTTTGTTTCGTACGTCTTGTTTTTGTTTACGCTAATAATAAGTGTTTTTTTTTTGTCGGCTACTAAGTGGCTTTAGTTGTTAAACAGAAAAGGTTCTAGTGAATAACTTTCTATAAAAAATAACGTACTATTTCAAACCTTTAACAGAGGGCTTCATGTTTTTGATTTTGTTTCTTCGGTTCTGTTAAGTGTGTTGTGGGATGATGAGTGTGGCGACTCACGTCCACGGCAAGTTCGTTTGTAGTACCTTTTCTTGTTTGAATAAGCTTCTGGGAGCTAGCTCCCGATGTTACACCAAAAAAAAACAGAGTAAAAGCATATAGGACAGACTGCAACTTGCAAATGTGAGAAGAAGGAAAATTATTGAATATATAAGGATGCTTTTTTCTAAAAAATTTTTATATATATATATATATAGAATCTGTACTTTATTTTCTTGCATCCATTACTTTTCTAAAATTTTAACAATTATCTATCGAAAATTTGTTGGAAATAAAAAAAAAGAGCCTGTCAACAACTGGTCGATAATTTTTAACATATTTCTGATTAGGCTAATCAAACATAACATCAATTCAAAATCCATCGAAAATATCCTATAATTGATAGAAGCCCATAGAGAGATTTCAGGTAAACACTTTTTTGGTTGAATTTCTATGATCCATTTCTTGCGGATCCTCGTTGGACATTGGTCTTTTTCTTGTATAGTGTATGTTGAAAACCGATAGAAAAACAATATTCGACGTAGCAGGTTTTGAACCAATTCATACGTGTAAGATATTACGTATTGATGCAAACGTCATGGTGTGTTCTTAATAATACCAAAGTCGAGAATCTCGTGAATTTGTAGGACACATCACGTAATTTTTTTTCTTCTTCTTGCTCTCGTTTGAAATATGTAACGAGTACTAAACTCGATGTTTCAGCTATTAGACTTTCTTCTTTTTGTGCTCTTGGAGAAAGAATTAAGCTTGAACTAAATAACTCAAAAGATTCCAAATTACCCGAATTAAAAATTCATGTGTGTTAGATTTATTTGAATCGAGTAAAGTTGAATAAAACTACTTACATTACATTACTCTTCTTATATGAAACATAAAAACCTCCTAAAACGATTACAAAAGAAACTCAAAAACATGGCTGAACAAAAAGTTCTCAAGAAGTCTGAGGAACTTAAGATGCTTTAGGTGAACAACGACGATATGTGACATAGATTGTTCAATAAATTTCCCAAGCGAAGCTAGAATGTCACATGTAACATCCGGTATAACCGCTACACCATCGGGAACTCGATCATCATCTTCTGGATGATCTTCTTCTTGAAAATCATCTGCAAGCAAATGAGGTGGAACGACAGATTCTTGAAGCCCCCATTCATCAATACTAAGTCCCCATTCTTGATAATCCGATCCTGCCATTGCTAATGCCTCCATCGAAACCATCATGAAATTATGATAAAATGATTGTAAAATGTACTTTTCTTGGAATCTTTTGAGTTCTTGCTTCTTCTTCTTTGATGAGTACGTGTGGCTAATAACGTTATATATAGAGAGGCATGTACGGATGTTACGTGCAATTTCTTTGGTTTCTCCACTGAGATTCAACACGAAAAGGTCACGTGAAATGTTTACTAATCAAACCGTTGAATTTGAATTTAAAATTTCTACTATGTTAAATACTTTGAACGTACGAAACAAATATGAACAATAAAAAGAACTACATTCTCGTGATTCCTCTCTAGAAAGTTAAAGACCATTTGCAGATTGAAAGTAGAATAGTATTAATCTTCTCTAAGCCATCGTCATGGACTCATCATAGCTAGCTAGTGAGATCTTTTAACCAATTAAATCCATGGCGTATACACAGACACGAATTGATCGATCTCACTCTAATATATGATGATGGACACAAATAACATGTAAATATTAAAATCCTTTATCAACAAAAAAATATCATGTCAAAAGGAAAAGCAGAATATTGCAATATTGTCCTCGATAATATGAAATATGTTCACATCAACCCTACTACTATTTTATTTCATGTGCAGAACAGACACAGCCAAAGAATAAGTGACATTATGCCACCTTTTAAAAAAATCCTTGTAACTGAATTAAGAAAAGATTATTTAATCCATAACATTACAATCCAAAATGCCTGAAGACAAAAAAATTATTCTAAAAAGGAGAAAAATAAGAAGATGATTAAGGTTAGTCTAGTCAATTTTAAGACTTGGCATTACCTATCTACTTATCTAGCATATATTTTTCTGATTAATATATGCGTAACTATCATTAATTTGAGCGAAATGAAACTATTATGTTTTACACAAGCAATGTGCCATGATCGAAATTTTTGAACTTAAAATATCTGCCAATTTCTTTGATAAAAAATTCTTGAAAACCAAATTTTTTATTTATTTGAAAATAGTTTAGGAAGAAAATGAGCAGGAACAAAGATATCATTAATCTGGATAATCTTGAGGATAAGTTTCCACGTACTTCAGTCTAATCCATTTTCATAATCAAATTAATTGTGTTTTTATTGGCATATAATTAATGTTAATTGATTATCTTTCCTTTTAAAAATCGAAGACTTTTTTTTTTTTTTCATTTATTCGCGTGGAACAGAGAAAATAAAGAATTTTCTATTTCGATCCTCTTCGCACTTTCATTTCAAAATCTGAAATTCTCTCCGAGCGAATCCCTTCATTGATTGACTCACATTCCCTGTGGATTCTCCGAGTCGAATCGTACGAGCCAGAGACGAAATCGCGGTGTAATGGGCGCCGCCGGCTCCAAACTCGAGAAAGCTCTCGGCGACCAGTTCCCGGAGGGTGAACGATACTTCGGATTCGAAAATTTCGGCAACACTTGCTATTGTAACAGTGTTTTGCAGGTCTCGTCCTCTCTCTCTCTCTTGAATTCTCATTTGTGTGTGTTCAACCTCTTCTAGATTTGGAGTCTCTGTCTCGAGTTTTATGTGTACGACTCGTTTTGCTTTCGATTTTGGAATTTCTGATTACTATTCGAAAATCGGATGACAATTTCCTTACGAATTACATTGGATTAGACCATGTATATGATAAATTTGGTTGATATGCGTTACAGTGAGGTTTCTGAGTACTCGGAAATTTCACATTCTTCAAATTAAAAATGAGTGAAAGCTTAAAAATTCAATACTTGGCCTGAGCATTTTGATCTTATTGAATTTTGGATTCATTGACAAAAAAAAGTTTCAGTTTTTAAGTAAGCAGAAAGAGGTATGTGTATCACTGTTCTCGACTACTGTTTTATGATGTATGAACTTTTCTCTTGTGCAGGCCCTTTATTTCTGTGCTCCCTTTCGTGAACAATTGCTCGAGTACTGTGCAAATAATAAGACTGTAGCTGATGCTGAGGAGAATCTCTTGACTTGCTTGGCAGACTTGTTTTCTCAGGTGATTATGATGTTTAAAGCATGATTCTTTTATTTATAGCACATCACATTTCTGGTCTAGCAATCGCTTCTTCATTCTATTTCGACTTGTGTTTTGCTAGTGTTAAACGTATGGCATTGTAGATGTATAGACGTGTTTGCTTCATGTAGCTTTTGATTTTTCATCAACTGCTTGATAATCATGGCAGTGTTCATTTCTTCAAAAGTGTCGCCATTAGTCTGATAATTGTATTGCACCTTTTCCCATAGATAAGTTCCCAGAAGAAGAAAACAGGAGTTATTGCTCCGAGGCGCTTTGTACAGAGGTTGAAGAAACAAAATGAGCTTTTCCGGAGTTATATGCATCAGGTACTCTTGTTAACATCCGTTATATAACGAGGATAGTGAAAATGTGAGGGAAGCATTATATCTCTGTGAACAAAGTTGGTTTGATTAATTGTGGTACTCTTCTCATGTAGGATGCACATGAGTTCCTCAATTATTTGCTAAATGAAGTTGTTGACATCTTAGAGAAAGAGGCTCACGCTACAAAACCGGACAATGAAATTTCATCATCTCCTGGAAAGATTGCTAATGGACCAAAAGTTCCTCAGGCAAATGGTGTGCATAAAGAGCCTATTGTTACATGGGTGCACAAGATTTTCCAGGTAAGGCGCTGTCTAAAATATGCCCCATCTCTTCCTCTAAGATAGGCTCAGTGCATATTTGGCTTCATATAGATATAGATGCGAAAAACATATTTGGCCATAGAACATTTCAGGGTATATATTGCATAGTACAAAGGTTTTCATTCATCTCAAGTGATTTAGCATGTGGGAAACTCAATACAGGGTATACTTACCAACGAGACAAGGTGTCTGCGGTGTGAGACAGTAACAGCAAGGGACGAAACTTTCCTAGACCTAAGCCTTGATATTGAACAGAACAGTTCAATAACTAGCTGTTTGAAAAACTTCAGCTCCACAGAGACTCTAAACGCCGAAGACAAATTCTTCTGTGACCAGTGCTGCAGGTAAAAACTCTGTTCCGTAATCCACAGTCTCATTTTCCTCGATCCTTGAGCTCGAATTTAAATGTTCTCGGTTTCATGCTCAAATAATAGAATGCTTATTTGGTGCAGTTTACAAGAAGCGCAGAAGAGGATGAAGATCAAGAAACCGCCACACATCTTAGTCATACATCTGAAACGGTTCAAATACATTGAACAGTTGGGCCGCTACAAGAAGCTATCTTACAGAGTCGTCTTCCCTCTCGAACTGAAACTCAGCAACACAGTGGAAGAGTACGTGGACATTGAGTACTCTCTCTTTGCAGTCGTGGTCCATGTCGGAAGCGGTCCTAACCATGGTCACTACGTTAGCCTGGTGAAGTCTCATAACCATTGGCTCTTCTTCGACGATGAGAATGTTGAGATGATCGAAGAGTCTGCTGTTCAAACGTTCTTCGGTTCATCGCAAGAGTACTCCAGCAACACTGATCATGGCTACATCTTGTTCTATGAGAGCCTCGGAACAAGGTAGAGAAAATGCCCTTTTTTAGTCATTTGACATCAACATAACTCTCTTTCTCTCTTCCAATGCTATTTTGTGACTTTGAAAAGAAAAAGTCAATTTCTTTTAACGCCAAAAACACAAAACTGAAAGTTTGTATACTAATGGAAACAAGTCTATGTACAGCTTTAATGATCAATGAAGGTTACTATTTGGTTGTTAATTTATCAAATACATGTTTTAAATTAGAGTGATAATGAATGCAGTTACAGAATATGAGAGGAGTGATTACATAAGAATTTACAAGTTTAATTGAGTCAATAACTGTGACAATATCTCTCACATAAGGCTTGAGAGTGGTTTCTAAATGTTCCACATAGTTGAGGACATGGGCAACATCAATGTGTCATCATCATCTTCCAACAATGCTTCAATATCAATCAGATCATCATCAAAACATGCTGCTCCTTCTGAGTTTTCAAGAGCCTTTTCAACCTAAACCAAAGATATAACCTTCATTACACAAGATCAACCTCAAAAACCAAAAGACCAATGATGAGGTATAGTTTATTAGAAAATTTACCTTGCTTTCTTGAATATCGTTTACCACATTTAGTAATCTACGGTACTGATCTCTAGCTTCAGGATATTGAACCATTGACTTAACTCTTGCAAGAGCCTTTTGCAGCCGTTCCTCTGTTTGCTTCCTACCTTGTTTGAAGAAATCGTCATCTTCTTCTTTCTCTGTTCCATCTTTCATTTTATCAACAAGTGCTTCTGATTTAAACCCTCTTAAGCCAGCTCCTTTCCGTCTCCAACGCAGTATCACCTTCTCTAATATCCCCACTGACCAAATGATCTTCCTGTAGTTCTTTCTAACTTGATAACCTCTTACATGAGCCTGCACGTTTACCAGTCAAATACCTTTAGCATTTCAGTATTAAACCAAAACAAATCAAGAACATTGGTCATGTACCTGTATTTTAATGATCCTTTGTCTAGTAATCAAGTAATCTTTTCTGCCTTTGTAACCTCGGAACTTGTTCTGTATCCTGATAGCAGCAGCTTGCACGGAATCATCACTATGCGCTCCACGTCCTTGTTTATGCGTCTTAGGAGCAAGCATTGAGAGAGCTCTCTCTTCTGACATGCCAAACTTTCTATTTCCCATTTCTTTTATTTGCTTCTTCTGGAAAGACTGAGCCCTGAAGACCTGTTGAATCCTGGCTGCTGCTTGAGTAGCGTTACGTACAGCAGTTAACGAGTCTGTTAAAGACGAGCTGGACTGGCTTGGAGCTGTCTCAACCGCTGCTAGAGATGTTTCTGCGTTTTTATCGTTTATACTGAGCAGAGAAACATGTGCTCTTAAGGCATACTCTGAGAGGTAACCAGCAATTCCTTTGTAACCATTAGCATAGGCTAGATCAGAAGGTGTGCTTCCTGATGGGAAATCTGGATTGGGATCAGTCAATGTTCCAGGAGCAGCACCAAGAGCTATGAGAGAACCAATTACCAGCTCCCTGAACATACAAACAACGTTGTCTCAGATGCCAAAATCAAACAAGAAAATAAGTTTAAAAGTAGTGAAATCTTTAAGTGACTCACTCACCTGCCAAAGAAAGCTGCCCAATGAAGTGCAGTCCAACCATTTACATCACGGAAATCAACGCTTACACCAGCGACTATAGTTGGCTCTAAGGCCCAGTTGTAACCAAGAGCAGCTGCAAAGTGTAATATACCTTGGCCACCTTCATCCAACACATTTGGACCTTTGCCACCTTCTGCTATCTTTTGTAAAAGCCATGAGTGTAAGCTTTCTTTCAGAGCTTCCTGCAAAAGGTTGTTCTTCATGTTCTCTTGGGAGATTTCATTCATGAGCATCTGATCCAACTGGTCGTCGTTCTCAAAGAGCAGTAAACTAATCTTCTCGCTCAGTTGGGACAAATCACTGTCATTCCCGGAAAGAGAAGAGCTCGGTGAATCAGATTTTGAGCACAAAAGTTTAACAAATCTTGCCTCAAGACTTTCAATAGTGTTGCAAGCAGTAGATTCGTCTGTCTCTCCACCAAAAACTTGAGACTCCACATTCTTGAACTCGAATTCACGCACTTCACTGCATGCTAATCTGTTGGAACATGTCACATAAAAGGGAACTCTTCCAGCCTCATGCATAGGAGCAACACATTGGAGAACACCATGAGCTATAACTTCTGCTGGAACTTCTGTTTGCCCAAACATGCAAGACCACTCGCCAGTTTCAGCCTCCTCTCGACTCTTTAAGAATTTTCCAGTGACAAGAACATTAACTTCACAACCCACATAAGTCCAGCTTGGAGCAAAGTCAATGATGCTAAAGAGCTGTTCCTTTGATAGCGAAGGACTCATAACATATCCATCCAAGTCTCTCCTCGAGTTGTGAACATTGGACCCATCCTCACTCTCAACTTCTTCCCAGTAGTTTCTCGAACTCGACTGAGCAAATGACTCGTTTGCATCAGCAATAACACCAACGTCCCCAAGTTCTTTGCTCATCCAGCGATTGAAACTGTCCATCTTTTTCAAACCTTCTTCGCCCAATGCCCCGTCTAACAGATGCTGTTTCATTGTAGATAGGTATGGAGCTTTTTCATTTGAAGCTAAATTGCTTATAGCATTTAGCTCTGTATCTGCAGTTCATAAAAGAAAAAAAAAAAACTGGAGGTGAGCTTTTAAGGACATGTAAACTACAACCTTTTGGTGAAACAAGCTAAGTGCAGTGTAAACCTTGTCCTTGGAACCAAGCGGTACGATCAGATATAAGTCCTGAGTTTAACTCCTGATTCTGTCAACGTTTGAGAAGGAAAAAAGAATTCAGATACTCAATGCATAAATTTTTAGAATATTCAGCACTAAAATTGAGCAAGAGTAATGCAGAAAGAGCAATGTATACCTGGCTTTTGACCATGGATTCTTGTAGACTGGCAAAATCTTGCATAGTAAAAGAGCAGCTTTGGAGTATTTGGTCCAACACTTCATGCTCACTGTTAGGCTGCAAAGGTAAGCCTTCAGCTGCAGAACCACAGTTTCCTAAAATCTCTTCCCAAGTTTGGGAATCAATGGATCTTTTGCTTCTTAACCCATTTGTTACTACAGGACCATTGATGTTTCTGCTTTTGTCTACCATAATAGAAGAGTCTGTTACAGGGATTGTGCGGAGCTCTTTCTGATAACTATCCCTGGCTGTTTAAAAAATAGGTATCAGACTATTTTCACTAGAACTTATGCTTCTACTGGAAAGATAAAAAGAAGATAAAACCAGATCACCAAGAACTTACGCGTCAACGACATTTGATAGTAAGGATCAAAACCAGTAAGGACTCCTTCAGTTGCAGGCTGATGTAGTCCTTGATGTGAATATGGATGCTGATTGTATGCTGCAGAATGAATGTATGTAATATGCATAAGATAAGAGACTGTTAAATCAAGGGATCCTCAATGTGTAGCTCTAACATCATGTAAGAAAGAAGAAGCACCTGATTCAGCATCTTCAAGTTCTGGAGTGTGAACACCGTTGACACTTGCTGAGTCAGTAGCCTGGGAATGGTTGCTGTGATCATACTGATTAATGCTGCTAGAAGCATAACCATCACGTTCACTGGTCAAGACATCCCCAGTTTCTTGAGGAGACCGAACAGCATCTTCACTCCGTTGCATCCGGTTATAAGAAGTAGAAACCCTACTACCCTGTGATTCATTTACAAAATTTCACTCTTAAAATGTCAACTTCCGATAATAAGAAAAAAACAGACAGACAAATGAGCTAATAACAGGGTGGGGTCAAACCTTAACTTCCAGATAATGGACAAAAACTATGTGGGCAAGCTCTCTGCATTAGTAACCAACAAAAAGACATTTTAGCCTTTCTGTAATATAGCTAGCAAACAAGAGGAGAGAGAGAGAGAGGGAATCTATCATAATAATTTTGTTCACAGGCAAATGCTATTGGAGTTATATAATGTTATAATAAGCTTACTCCTGAAGCATCCAATAACTGCGTCTTTGAAAATTTTCATTGTCTTGTCCATGAGCATAGTAACAATGTAGAACATCAACGCTTCCCGCCTGCAACGAATATTCATAAGCAAGAGAAATCCATAATAGACACCTACCAACATCTTGGAGATATCAAAAAAAAAAAAGAAGAAGAATGTTTTGTTTTTTACCTTTAGCCTCTCATGAGCTTCTTTAACTGTCTTTCCATCTCTTTTCTTCCTCCAATTGTGACCATCCTTCCTGAAGTATCTGAGCACCTTCCGATCAAACAGAAAAACAGATCCACCTGAAAATGAGTCAAGAATTCAGCAACAACAACACTCTTAGAACTCTTTTGAGTTTCATTTGGGTTCTGCACTGAATCTTACTTGATGGTGTAGTAGGTGGCTCGGTAGAAATTTGAAATTTTTGGTAGTTCTGTAAAATTTCACAGATTTCAGGAGGACGTAGCCATCGATTTCTTGCTTCTGATAGTATTTGGGCAACATCTGTGCACTCACAAAATGATTAAAAATTAAGATACCATCCCTAAATACTTAAATAACTCTAGTGACACAAATAGCTAAATGTTGCAAAAGACCATTTCTTTTGTAGTGGAATGATTTTGGTTTGTTATGTAATCAAAGATAATGTTAGTTCCAAGCTTTTTTCTAGCCTATACACAATCATAAATTTTACTGTAGATAGAGATAAGAGTAAACAAATAAAAGTAAAGCCCACTTAAATTATGATCAAGACTAAAACTAAAGCCAGATTTATACTAGATTCGTTTTCAAGTTAAAGTGTTATAAGCAGCCTAAGTAAGTGATGATGAACTTAAATTACTAAATCAAGAAGTAAAATAAAAAGAAAGGTTTACAAATGAATATTCAGATAAAATATCCTCCCAAGAACAAATCATCACTCAACTCTAGCCCTTTTGAATAGTATCCCATTTCATAAAAATTGAAAATTTGAGAACTATGACTATGAGTGACACCATGGAAGTGAAATCTACAAGTTTTTATCTACCTTTCACACCAAACAGATCGAAAAAGGAAAAAAAGGTGATTTAATCGGATAAAGATTTGACTCAGCAAACAAAAAAATAGAAATATCTCAAATAGATAATAATAAAAAATATATCTCACTTCACCTAATTCATTATTGGGGCTAAATCGTCTTGCTTCCGCCATAGATTCCTTTTTTCGATCTCAGAGCTTCAAAGCAGACATGAACACTGACAATAACTAAAAAAAAAAAAATTGGAACTTTAAGAGTAAAGGTGAAGACTTTCTTCTTCTTTTAGTAAACGACTAAGACAGAAACAGAGGAAACGAAAGAGAGCTGGAAACCAAAATCGAAAGTGGAAGAGAAAATCGAAGAAGGAAGCATCTGAGTAGTGAGAGAGAAAGAGAAAGAGAGAGAATCCGTACGATGAACAAATGGCCGTCGTAATTGAAATTTCTTTCTAGTCAAATTCTTCTGACGCAAGTTCCTCGACTCTGCCTTTTTATTCATTAATTTAATCATATAATAATCTGATTTTTTTGCTTATGTATTAAATTATCATTTGGTTTATTTTATCACGTGTTGACATTATATTCTGTTCCTGTAATAAAGTTGCTTAATCACCTTTTAATATTTCAGAAAATAAAAATAATTAATTCAGTGAACTATGTACACGGAATCTGATACACCGATTTCTTCAAAACGGATTAAAAATTCATAAATCTAGCAATAATCCAACACATTTTGCATATTATAATCTGAGGCAACGGCAACCTATAAATTATTATCCCATTTTCGGATTTGGCATCCCAAGTATTTTAGAGCCCATAGAAGAAATGAACTCATGGACTGTTATTAGGCCTCAACATAAGTTGTTGAAACCCATCTGAGTAAAACATTTTTCTTTTCTTCTTCACTCTATCTCAAAATAATTAATTACTAGTACTAATTAGTAAACATCTTTTTAACGATTAAATCTCATTCAATCATTATTATAAACAAAAGGGGATGTAGCTCAAATGGTAGAGCGCTCGCTTTGCATGCGAGAGGTACAGGGTTCGATACCCTGCATCTCCATTTCTTTTTGACATTTTCTTTTTAAGTGCTATAAAAAACAATCTTTTTCTCTCTTTTTCTATTGTGTAGTCAAAATCGAGATGTTAACTTTATCTCTTTAAGGTAAAACAGTTGATAATGACGTGCATTTAGAACTAAGTCAAAAGACTTATTTATTTATTTCTATCCAATCCTAATTTATCAGATTTGTTTTGGCTAAAATTATTGGAAAATACTTATTTTAGTTAAGGTAAAATTATTTTGGCTGATAAAGATATGAGTCAGATAGTTTATCCGGAATACTCAAATTAACATTTTGGATCATTAAAATTTAAAATTATTCAAAACCATTTAAAATTACTGAAAATTACTACACAGCTGTCCAAAATACATGAATCTAGATATGACATTTACCCAATCTAGTAAAAGTTGGATATTGATTTTAATGCTTAAATTATCCTGACCATATCCAATATCGTAATTATTTGACCATCTCATCGATCCTGTACCCGAAATGAAATTTCTAGTCAACATATTAAAAAAAAATACTATTATTTAGCCAAAAAATAGTTATTAAAAAAAAATCTACAAACAGGAGTATGTCTTTTTTCTGCAGAAAATTTTGATACACATTTCAAGAAGGCTAAAAACTTAATCGGTTTTATATAAATATTTTTTTCTTATAATACATCTAAGAGAATTGGTGCTAAGTTTTTACAATGGAATTTCTTGTTCATCGAAATATTAACAAACTATTATCATCTCTAATTATTGAATGATAGATAATATTACTAGGAGGATGTTGTATAAGAAATCCCACCACCATTGTTTATCTTTAGCTTTTCTCAGCAGTTGTTTCTTCTCTTTTCTTCGTCAGCCTTCAGCTGTTTTTCCCGACATTCTTCCTTACAGAAAGGAGCATCTCTGTATATTTTATGATACAATAACACACTTTTAAAATAAATTATGGTGATATATCTAAAGCAAATGATTTAGTAAAAGTTACGCACTTATACATGAAGATGGCATCAATCTTTGGGTATAGCTTCCCCTTGCAATAACCACATTGGTTTGTGAAATAGCTGATGTGCTGTGGATTATCTGTTGGATAAGCCATAAGAATACCCTATAATTTGTTTGACTGAAGTTGGATTGAGAGAAAGATGTTTCAATCATGAGATTGTATCTTATTTATAATAGAACAAAGCTTATGACATTTATCATTTTTCCAAACGTATCCCATAAAATTACTTTATGTTTACCATTTTAACAAATTTTCCATAAAATAGTAAATTAATTTAAGCGAATTAAATCTCATTTTTAGAAGAAAATTAATCAAAAGTAAGTATTCTCTTATGTATAAAACACTTTTATGACTCAGAAATTAAAATTCTATCCAAATAATAACACACGTCCTTTTTTTGGTTAAAGTATAACACATGTCCTATGATTAATTTGCTCATGTCCTATGATTAAATTAACACATGTCCTATGATTAAATAACACACATGAATTAATCCAAATAAATTGGAACCAAATTTAAAATAAAGTTTGATACAAAAAATTATTGTCAATCAATGTTCAAGAAAGCTTTCGGCGCTAAGTTGGCGGTGACCTAGTATCTAAAACGTCTAATCGGAGCCTAGGTAATTTCTAGACGATTTAGAAATTTACTAAATAAACCTATATATTATACATATTTTAAATATATAATGTAATACTATAGTATTATATTAAGTTCAAAATACACTCCAAAAATTAGAAGAGTACTAAAACTAAACTATATATATAAGTATAATATATTTATATTAGCTAAACATATCCATAAAAAATGAATTATATCAAATAATAAATCAAAGTGTAGATAAAACCACAAGATCTATGAATATCTAGGCACCGAAAAGGTAATTGCTATGGTTTATAAATACACCGCCTAAACCATTTTTTAGAACACTGTTGTTAATAAAATGACAAAATTAAGCCCACTAGTTGAAACTTTTTTATTTTTATTTTTATCACTATACTGTATTTTCGTTTATTTTTATTTTCCTAACACTACACAATTTTGATCATACACCATAGAACAGTACATATGTCATATATATTTTCATCTTTTTTTCTGATCAAAGATTTTTCATATTGAAATATTATTTTTTGGGTCTTTTTTGGGCTATTACAAAATGCAAACTAAACTAAAGTACAGTCATTTTGAATATGGCCAAGTTGTATATTATCTCGGTCTGTGATCTTTATTCTATTGATACTTGCTAACTTACTACTGCGTGTAGCTTCAACCATTGTCAGTAAATAAAATACACTCACAAGTAGAGTCTTGGTAACAACTCGGATTCACAAATAAGATTTGTCGAAACAGTAGAAAACTAACTTATTTGTATGATCTAAATCCGAACTATCTAAGGTTCTTGTTCGTATGAAAGACTCATCTTTCTTTCTTTCTTTAGAATCATCAACACGAACAACCTCCTCCTTGTTGATCACCTTGAGATGAATTCGAAGTCGTTTTCAGGTTTACATCAACCATATCGTCAGTTTTCGTGTTTGAATATGATTCCATCCCCGGTAACGCCGCAGCGATTTTGCGAAACAATGGCTTAATGTTAAATCCTGCTTTCGCACTCGTCTCAATGAACATGACTCCGTACTCACGACCTTTGCTCTCTCCTTCCTCAATCGAGACTTGCCTAAGCAAGTTTTCACAAGAACATATTTTTACAAAGACAATTCTTATAGTAAGCACAAAAGAAAGAAAAATAATATATATGTTACCTTTTTTCGACAAGATCTGTCTTGTTTCCGACAAGAACAATGATAACATCACCGGCTCTTTCAGTACGGACTTCTTCGATCCATTTGGATGTGTTGAGAAATGAAAGCCTATTGGCTACGTCGTAAACAACTACAGCAACAGAAGAGTCTCTTATGTAACTTGGGATTAAACTCCTGAATCTTTCTTGTCCAGCTGTATCCCTACAATGAAAAGAAAGCCAAGAAAAAAGCAGAGTTTTACAGCTAAATAAGCAATTTGAAGATGAAGGAAAACAACATTTCCTAATTCTTACCATAGCTGCAGACGAACAGTTCGATCTTCGAGGTACATTGTCTTGGATAAAAAATCAATTCCAATAGTAGCCTACAAAACGAACAATGTTTTAAGCAAATAATGTAAATTTTGGTGGATTTGTTCTGAAATTCGATGAATATTACGTTCAAAATTTGTATCTACACTAATTTGGTTTGACGATCGTGAGAATTAAGTGGCAAAATGAAGACAAAACCGAGCCTTTTCAAAATGTGGACTTGGATGATCAGAAACAAAAGTGGAAACAATGAACGATTCAGATTCAGTGGAAAACAGATCGAAGAGAGAGTTAACGATCGGTGTACTTTGATTTGATTATTACCTGGTAGGTTGTGTCGAACTTATCGTACATGAAACGTGTGATGATGCTTGTTTTTCCGACTGATTGATCTCCTAAGAACACCAGTTTATACTTGGCTAATGGTGACACCGACGCCATTTTCGATACTCAGAGGATCTTTAATTACTTTACAAAACTTTGATCGGCAAAAAAAAATAGGAATCAGATTTCAAGAGTTAGTATTCTTGCTTTCTCGGAAAAATGCAAATGCACTCGATTGAGAGAGAGAGAAGCTGGAACGAAGAAGCTCCTATTTTTGGAAAGTTGAAGAAACCGCCAAGCACGACGACAAGGACGGCTTCTGAAATGTCTATTTTACCCTTTTCTCCAGGTGAGAGTAAAATATCATTTTAAAACTTAACGTCGTTTACTGTGAGTTAATAAGGTAAATCAAAAGTGACTCCATGGCCCAATGGATAAGGCGCTGGTCTACGAAACCAGAGACTCTGGGTTCGATCCCCAGTGGAGTCGTATCCCTTTTGTAACATCGTACCTCGCTTGCTTGAATAGACATCATTTTTTTTTTGGATTCACTCTCTACATGAATGAATAGAAAAAAGGAACAGAAAGAGAAGAAAACACACGAATCCGAGACTATAGATTGACAAACTTGGACATTAAGAATCCTAAACTTGGACAAACTAAGCGTGCTTGAGAACTACGGCTGAGCCAAAACATAAGACTCATTTTTATGATTTTATGACAGTGAAATGCTGCTCTCGCCACCGGGAGGTCTCCTTGTGCCGCCGTAGTATTCCCGGTACTCCGACTTCCCGTCAGCGAATATATTGTGTCCGCTCATTTCCCGCAACTTAGCCGAGCTATGCATCTTCTCCGAATAGCCAGGAGGAATTTTATCAGACTTGAAGATACCATTGCTCGTGAGTTGCTGAATCCTCGGGTTATGTAACTTCTTCGATGACTTCACCACATGTTCTTCATTTTGCCCTTGCCCCTGTTCATATAAAACCATCAGTTTCTTTCTAGCATCCCCACAATGTAAAGACAATGCTACTACTTACATTAGAGGCTTTAGCAGATGCACGCGAGCTCCTCGATGCAGATTCTTCCACGTTCTTGTTTCCTTTGACTTCTTGCTGTGTTGCAGCTAAGGAACGGCGAGGAGTCTGGCTTTCAGAAGGAAGAGGAGATGCAAAGATGTCGTGACCAGTGGTTGATTTGATCTTGGAGTTTGACATCTGCTTCTTCTTGCTCTTCGAATCCGCTTCGGTTTGAACAGTCCTGCTCAGCTCCTTCTGCTTCGCAGCCTCGGTTAAAGAGGTTTGTTTCTTAGGAGTCGCATTCTCTTCGGTCCTGCTCAACTCCTTTTGCTTCGCAGCTTCGGTTACAGTGGTTTGTTTCTTAGGAGTCGCATTCTCTTCGCCGCTGAAAGATATCTGGCTATTCTGCAAAACCAGTAACCATTACAGAGATATCAATATCAATATCACTATCAGTTTTATCATCTACTGAATGAAACAAGTACCTGATCTTGATGGTAATGGTTGATTGTTTTGTGAATAGGTTCATCAATGCCATTATCAGAGAACAAGTCACTCCCATTCATTTCTTTAAGCTTGTGCCCTGAACAATTCTTCCTGTGTGAAACACTGAAGAAAAGGACTTTTATCATTTTGTGAAGAAGTTGTTCAAAAAAAAAAAAAAAAAAATCATTTTGTGAAGAAAATCACATTTCACAAGCAGATTATAACCTAATTTCTTTCTTATTTTGGCTAATAGTATCACATTTCACAAGCAGATATCAAAATAATCAGACGAAAAAACCCTAAATCATCAGGTAAATTGAGTTTCAGATGAACAGATATACACTAAAGAGAAACATTTCGCCAGTAAAATTGCTTCTTCCTAATCAGTAAATCAAGAGAAAATGCTGAAATCAAATTCGCATGAAAGAGATGAATAGTCGTTACTTGGTGTTAAGCGATTCGGTTTCCTCGTTGGTGACTCGACAGCCATCAAGAGCCTCGGTGACTCCATCAGACGGCTGGAAAAAATGGAGAAAAATCAGAACGGAATTCGAAACCGAATTCTCAGGATGAACGGTGATTTATCGTCGGGAAAACGAACCTGGTTAGAGCGATTAGCGGCGGAGGAGTGGTCAGGACGACGGATCTCAGACCAAGAGAGAAGATCGGCGGTGGAATGATGCGGATCGCTTAACGGGATGTTTCTTCTCTCCATAACAACTCTCTGATTCTTCTCACACTCTTCTTTGATCAAAAAGTTTTCCAAATTCTAAAATTCTGATTCTAAACTGTAAATGGACGATTGAGAGAGCGAGAAAGGCTTACCTTTTATTTTCCGTTTTCCCTGTAAACAGCTTTCTTTTCTAAATTTAGTGGAGTGGAGGATTGATTGCTTTTCATTTTTAAAATTCAAAATTAAGAATTGACAACCCCTAATAACGGTTTGCTTTCGATTTATCTAAAAACTGAAGCTATGATTTAATTCGATTTGACACTTATGGTTTTGGTTTAATTTGGTACGTTACATACATCACACTTGGAGAAGATTGGATAAAAACTCCGAAACGTCTAAAGCTTCAAGCTTTTGGTCTTTCTTCACTTCAAAATTCCAAGAATCACATTTCTGATCAGCCACAAAATTAGGAAACCTCTTGGTTATGTCTCTGCACAAACACAAACAAAAACAACTTGTTAGCCAAAGAAGATAACAAAGAGATGAATACAGAGTCCCAGAGACATGGCTTACTTGTTTAACAGAGAGAGAGATGGTGCAGCAAAAAAAAACTCTGCCACTCTTCCTTATCAATCTTCTCGTCAAGTTTAGTATTACCTTCTTCAAATGTCTCATGTCAAAGAATCAATATGAGAATTCTAGTGAATGTGACTGGAGATCAAGATCAAGCTCTCACCTTGTTTATGATGTTCGGTTTACAAAACAAGCCTGAAGGTAAGGTTGATACGAGTGCCTTCTGCTTTTACACGCTTTGGCACAGAATGAATCCAGTCCCTTTGAGTGTAACCTCTCATCACTAGCAACGATCCATGCTTCAATGTGAAGCTGTGTTGATCCTCTTTACTGCTTTTCTTTAACTTCTTCTTCGCTGGTCCACAATCTCCTGTTTTCTCTGCAGGTTTCACACACCAAAGAAACATTCTTTTTCCATGGCTTTGAAGTGGAAATTTTACTCAGTTACAATGGCGAGACTCGAAAGGTTCTCCATACCATGGTTAGATTCTTTCTTCTTCAACACAAAGTCACGTTCGCATCCAAATGAGACGGAAGCAATTTCAGGAGTTGGACCGTAAAGCTTTTCATCATCTGCATGCCAACCAACATAGTCATTGGCTCCTTTGTACCTATTTAACAGCAAGCTGTTGAATCTGCTTCCAGGAAGGGCTTTGTATATCTGAAAAGTCAAAAAGAGAAACTTTACTTCCAACAACCATTAGAACATAAGGGACATGGATCACAAGTGGTGGAGGTTTCAATCTTACAGCATCTAGAATCTCCTTGAGAGGTGGAAAATCATCCCATGAATAGGCATCAGGTCGATATCCACTGTACACCAGCGGAGTCAATCCGCTACTTGCAACATAACAAGTGTCTCTCGGCTGCAAGAACCAAATGCATATGATTAGAGAGCCAAAACACACAGATTATCTCAGGTACTAGTTGAATCCAAGCATGGAATGGCCATGGTAATCCAAGTGAGCAAGAAAGTGGAAGAACCTGGAGGCAAGATCGACCGAAAACGCGAATGGTTGGCCTTGTCCAAGGTATATGTTTGTCAAGATAATGGAAGAAACTCCAAGATTGTTGAAAAGGAAGAAACCTCTGAATGTAGATGAGGTCACTTCCATGGCCGAGATTAATGGTTCTCCTAGTGGGAGCATCCTGAGACGAGGGAGGGTCCACTGCCACAAGCGATGTCAAACTCATCCTCCGCTACAGAACAAACGCAACAGCATAATCTGAAGTTTTATAAACTAAGTAACCAATCATCTGTAGATGCTCACTTCTCCCAAAAACCTCATAAAATAATTGTTTTGGTGCTTGAAAGTTGCTTCTGGAGAGAAGAAGGAGAGTTTGGCTACTTACTAGCTGAGTCTTATTGAGCTTATCTTCAGTTGTGTGTGACCAAATCCCTATAAGGCTATAACATTAAGTACCTTATCTTGATGGTAATGGTTTATCGTCTTGTGATTTGGATAATCTTCACCATTTTCTGAGAATATGTCACCAGACTCGCTCCCAGGTTCTTCTTTAAGCCTTTGCTCAGAACATATATTCCTGTATGAAGAAAAACATGAAATTCAGTATGTGAAGACAGTCACATTCATAATCAGATTAAACGTTTTGAAACTCTAAATCAGGCAAAATCAAGTTTAAAATGGACACAGAGAAACAAAATCCACTAAAGAGTAAACATTTCACCAGTAAAATTGCTTCTTTCCCAATATAGAAATCAATTCGCATGAAAAGAGATGAAATCATTACTTTTTATTAAGGGATTCAGCTTCCTCATTGGTGATTTGACTGCCATCATCAAGTACCTCTCTGATTACATCAAACGGCTGAAAAACGGAAAAAATCAGAACGGAATCGCCATTCGTTGGAACATAATCAAAGGATGATTTTTTTCTCGCCGAGGAACGCACCTGGTCAGAGCGATTAGCGGCGGAGGAAGATACCGGAAGATCGGCGGTGGAATTATGCGGCATGTTTCTCTCCTCTATAGCACGGAGACTGAGTCTCTCTGGAAGAAAAAAAACAGTAACCATAAGAAAACCAAACCGAAATGACTAAACCAAAATTGAATCTGATTGGTTCCATAAATGGAAAACCGAAAACCCAAACCGCCGTTTTAGAAGAGTGAGCAAAGGAACAATCTTTTGATCTTCCCGGCGACATTATCAGCCGCCGGAGACGGGTTTACAGATTCATAAAGGTTGGTGGCTTAACTTTTTGAATTTAAGAAAGAAAAAAAAAACGATTTAAGTAATTTTATAATTCCTTTTGCTTGCCCTCACCAACTCCTCCGACTTTCTTCTCTCCGCCTCTCTCGTTTACAAATTCTCTCCCCAAAGCTCGACTCTTTATACCTCACTCACCAACCCATTTCCTTCAATGTCGACTCAGAGCTCCGCCGCCGTCATTTCCTCCGCCATCGCCGCCGCTAGAGTCGAATCGTACCCGGATTCGAGAAAGCCAATCGGGTCAATTCGTTTCCAACCAATTCCTCTGTCCCTCTCGTGAGTTACATATATAATCAAAGTTTCAATTTTTGTGACTTTTTGATCAACTCATTTCAATCTATTTGACTTGGATGGTTTCGATTACTGTTTCTTACATTGCGTAGTAGTTGAATTCAGATTTGTATATCCTTTAACTTTGGTATGAAACGAATAGGTACTGTAAGTCAGGGAAGATTTCATCTAGAATCTGTGCCATGGCCAAACCAAATGATGCAGAGACTCTATCACCACCATCATCATCATCAGTGGATATGATGACTCTAAGCCCACGAGTAAAATCCTTAAAACCTTCCAAGACTATGGTTATAACCGATCTCGCCGCTACTCTTGTTCAATCCGGTGTACCGGTTATCAGACTAGCTGCAGGAGAACCAGATTTCGATACACCTAAACCAGTAGCTGAGGTAAAGGAATACACTTTTTCTTTGCAAGTGGTTTCTTTATGTTCTGTTTTCTCTGTTTTGTTCTGAATCATTTGTTTGATACAGGCCGGGATCAATGCGATTCGAGATGGTTTCACTAGGTATACACTAAATGCAGGCATTACAGAACTCAGAGAAGCAATATGTCACAAGTTGAAAGGTATGAAGGAAACATCTTTTGCTTTGTTATTCTCAGTTATGTTGAAAAATGGAGTCAAAATGTTTGGTATTGGGACTTTTTGCAGAGGAAAATGGATTGTCTTATGCGCCGGATCAGATATTGGTTAGCAATGGAGCTAAACAAAGTCTTTTACAAGCAATTCTCGCAGTTTGTTCTCCTGGTGATGAAGTAATAATTTAATAATCACAAAATCTCTTCTTTCTTGTTTTCTTTCGATATGATTTTGTTTATAACAGTGAACTATGGTTTCTTTTGGCAGGTTATAATTCCAGCACCGTATTGGGTGAGTTACACAGAACAGGCGAGATTGGCGGATGCAACGCCTGTGATCATTCCTACAAAGATCTCTGATAACTTCTTGTTGGATCCAAAGGATCTTGAGTCTAAACTGACTGAGAAATCAAGACTTCTTATCCTCTGTTCTCCTTCAAACCCTACTGGATCTGTTTACCCCAAGAGTTTGCTTGAAGAGATTGCACGGATCGTTGCTAAACATCCGAGGCTTCTGGTACTCTCAGATGAAATATATGAACACATAATCTATGCGCCAGCAACACACACAAGCTTTGCTTCTCTGCCAGAAATGTATGAAAGAACTTTGACAATAAACGGTTTCTCAAAGGTAAAGTCTTTAGCAAATTTCTAATGTCAACATATCAAATTTTGTGCTGATCATATATGTTATGTAAAGGCTTTTGCAATGACGGGTTGGAGACTTGGATATCTTGCTGGTCCTAAACATATAGTGGCAGCTTGCAGTAAACTACAAGGCCAGGTATCTCTATAGTCTATATACAATCTTTATTCGGAAAAATTATCATGAGATGTGAAATCGGTTTTGGTGTCTCTTAAAGGTGACTTCAGGAGCAAGTAGCATTGCTCAAAAGGCAGGTGTTGCTGCACTTGGGTTAGGAAAAGCCGGAGGAGAAACTGTTGCTGAGATGGTTAAGGCATACAGAGAAAGAAGAGATTTCTTGGTTAAAAGCCTCGGCGCAATCCAAGGCGTCAAGATCTCTGAACCTCAGGTGATTCTCCTTCTATCTTTGTAGCTCTAACTACTTGCTACTTTCTTATCATTCTTCTTGTTCTTGACTGTTGGCATTGTTTGCTTGCAGGGAGCTTTCTATCTCTTTATTGACTTCAGCGCTTACTATGGAGCAGAAGCTGAAGGCTTTGGTTTGATCAGTGACTCGTCGTCTCTTGCATTATACTTTCTTGACAAGTTTCAGGTAAATTCCGGTCTCCGATTGTTTGTTGGACGACCTTTGAATGTTTTAATCAAAACTATTTTGTGTAAAAGTGTTGACGTTTTGGGTCCACTGTTTGGGTGTGTGTTTGTTTTTTGTAGGTTGCAATGGTTCCTGGTGATGCTTTTGGGGACGACACTTGTATTCGGATATCTTACGCCACATCTCTCGACGTTCTTCGAGCCGCAGTTGAGAAGATCACGAAAGCCCTTGAGCCACTCCGTGCCACTGTCTCTGTGTAAACGGTTCAAACACAAAAAATGTGTTATTGATCATTATGATGTTGTATACTATATATCCACTTTGTCTCTAATCCAATAAGAAAAAGAAAAAAAAAAAACTATTTTGTTCTTTCCTTCAAGTTCATGTAACCATAAAACCATTGCCTTCTTTGTAGATCCTTAACTAAAGTTAAAGATTGCTTGGGTTATAAGTTTTTAGCTATATGGAGCAAATGCTGACACTAATTGGTCTGCTAGGGAATTCAAAATTAGAATTTTTGTTACTGAAAGGCTTAAAGCTCTCATAACAACTTGTTGCAGTGCTTCTGTTGGGTCGTCTATTTCAAAAAAAAGAGAAAACAAATTCAAAAATAATGAAGATTACAATCCATTGTAAATTGACGTATGCATGCATGTGCAAAGAGGCTTTAATTCGTGTACGCGTCTGACACCTACTTCGAAATATACATACAACCACTGGTCATTTGTCTAATTAATTAATTCATTATTATGCTATTGTATTTCTTAACTTTTGTTTGCCCTCACCAACTTTCTTCTCTCCGCCCAAAGCTCAAATCTTTATATCTCCGGTCTCCACTCTCACCAACCCACTTCCTCAATCAGAGCTCTGCCTAGAGTCTAACCAATCGGGTCAATTCGTTTTCTCTCTCGTGAGTTTCCTTCTCTATTTAAAGATCAAAGTTTCATTTTTTTGTGACTTTTCCAACTGATTTCAATCTATTTGATTTGGCTGATCTTCCTCCTATGTGATGCATAACTACTCTCGGTTAGGTACTGTAATTCTGTGCAATGGCCAAACTAAATGATGCAGAGACTCTGTCACCACCACCATCATCATCATCAGTAGATATGACTCTTAGCCCGCGTGTAGAATCCTTAGAACCTTCCAAGACTATGGTTATATCCGATCTTGCCGCCACTCTTGTTCAATCCGGTGTCCCGGTTATTAGACTAGCTGCTGGAGAACCTGATTTTGATACACCTAAAACCATAGCTGAGGTTAATATGGGGGAACACATGTTCTTTTCTTACAAATGGTTTCTTTTATGTTCTGTTTTCTCTGTTCTGTTCTGAATCAATTGTTTCATATAGGCCGGGATGAATGCGATTCGAGATGGTTTCACTAGGTATACACTAAATGCAGGTATTACAGAACTCAGAGAAGCAATATGTAACAAGTTAAAAGGTATAAAGGAAACATCTTTTGCTTTGTTATTGGATTATGGCCAAACAAATTGGAGTCAAAATGTGTTTGGTATTGGGATTTTTGCAGAGGAAAATGGATTGTCTTATGCACCGGATCAGATATTGGTTAGCAATGGAGCTAAACAAAGTCTCTTACAAGCAATTCTTGCAGTTTGTTCGCCTGGCGATGAAGTAATGAAAGCAATCTCTTTCGAGCTTTTGTTCGTTATGATCTTGTTTATGACACCGTGAAGTGTCTCTTCTAGGTTATAATTCCAGCACCGTATTGGGTGAGTTACACAGAACAGGCGAAACTGGCGGATGCAACACCTGTGATCATTCCTACAAAGATCTCTGATAACTTCTTGTTGGATCCAAAGGATCTTGAGTCTAAACTGACTGAAAAATCTAGACTTCTTATCCTCTGTTCTCCATCAAACCCTACTGGTTCTGTTTACCCCAAAAATTTGCTTGAAGAGATTGCACGGATCGTGGCTAAGCATCCAAGGCTCCTGGTACATAGCGTAAAACACAACTCAAATATCTTCAAATTTGTTTCAAGCTAAAAAAAACTCTGTTTCTTTCATTATCTTTTGAAGGTGCTATCTGATGAAATATATGAACACATCATCTATGCACCAGCAACACACACAAGCTTTGCTTCTTTGCCAAACATGTATGAAAGAACTTTGACAATAAACGGTTTCTCAAAGGTAAAGTTTTCTTTTTCTATCTTTGAGCTGCTTGTAATGTCAACATATCAAATTCTTTGCTGATCATATATGATTATGTAAAGGCTTTTGCAATGACTGGTTGGAGACTTGGATATCTTGCTGGTCCTAAACATTTTGTGGCAGCTTGTAGTAAATTACAAGGCCAGGTATCTCTATACTCTATATACAAACATTTGTCTTTCTAAATCTTTATTCGAGGAAAGTGTTGTTGATCATGAGATGAAATCGATTTTGGTTTCTTGTAAAGTTGACTTCAGGAGCAAGTAGCATTGCTCAGAAAGCAGGTGTTGCTGCCCTTGGATTAGGAAAAGCCGGAGGAGAAACTGTTGCAGAGATGGTTAAGGCATACAGAGAAAGACGAGATTTTTTGGTTAAAAGCCTTGGTGCAATCCAAGGCGTCAAGATCTCTGAACCTCAGGTGCTTCTCCTTAAATCTTTGAAGCTATTACAACTAGCTAGTCTCTTCTTGTTCTTGACTTTTGGCCATTGTTTACTTGCAGGGAGCTTTCTATCTCTTTATTGACTTCAGCGCTTACTATGGATCAGAAGCTGAAGGTTTTGGTTTGATCAGTGACTCCTCGTCTCTTGCATTATATTTTCTTGAAAAGTTTCAGGTAATGTCCATATATAAATCCACAACTTTTATAAATTAGGTGTTTATACGTTTTATACGTTTGTGTTTGATTATAGGTTGCAATGGTTCCTGGTGATGCTTTTGGGGACGATACCTGTATTCGGATATCTTACGCCACGTCACTCGACGTTCTTCGAGTCGCAGTTGAGAAGATCACGAATGCCCTTGAGCCACTCCGTGCCACTGTCTCCGTTTAACGGTTGATACGTCAAAAATGTGTGATTTGATCATAAAGATGTTGTAAACTTTATATCCACTTTGTCTCCAATCCAATAAGAAAACAATTTGCTTTTTCCTTCAAGTTCATGTCACCGTAAACCATTATCTTTCTTTGTAAATCCTTTATCAAAATTAAAAGGTTGCTTGTGTTATAAGTTTATAGCTAGAAATCTGATTCTATGTAAAAAAAATCTGATTATATGTCAAACTTTTATTAAGTTAATTAAATCAAGTTAAAAGTCCCTTAATTATTTGAACCGGAAGAATGCTCAGATATATCACATCAAACAATGATAAAGAATAATTTGATATACATATCTTCTTTTCTTGGTTTTGCTTTGTTACCCGATTTCTTTTATTTTTAATAACTATAATTTGGTTTTGGTTTTTACGACTATTTCAAAATCCTGGAACTGATTTGTAAGCGGATTTACATGTAGATTTCTTCTTATCAAAAAGGTCATTACCGCATACTAATCCCAACCAGGTACCCAAAGTCTCATGTCTTTATAGGTGTGATATGATATATTTTTTAAAAAATGAAAAATATGTTTGCTAAAAGAAGATAAAACCATTAGATTTATGTTCGACATATATGATAAAGATGTCATGATTGTTAATTCATATTTCGAGAATATGATTTTGAAATTCTTATACGTCCAAAATCTGCACGACACATTGTGATTTCATTGTGATAGTTGCCTCCGAACACATTAATTGGGTTCTTTTTCTTAATCAATTTAGCTCTTATGTAATGTCTCCTCTCTCGGATTGTTTCATTTCTTTTACTTCTGTGGGGTTTTTGGGTTTGCACTCTGTTAGGTCTAATGCTGTTTGATTAAGAAGTGAAACTGGGTTTGTTTCACGCTGTTTTTGTTTTGGTTAGTGCCAATTTGTGGCTGTTTTGGTTGGTCTTAGTTTGGAATTGATTTTGCTTGGTAGTTTCCGATTGTGTCAAAGGGCAGTGTGAACAAGACTGCTGTGGAGAAGCTCAGAGCAAGTCCTGCTCTCCGCTTCAGGCGTCTTGATGGGATGGACAGAGATGCTTGTTATGTTGCTTTGATGGCAATGATCAGAGATTGGAGGAATTTGAACCCAGCTCCAACCAATGTTGTCATCGCTTCTGGACACCACTGCTACAAGGGGACATTGGAGCTGTTGAACCAGCTGGGATACAACACAATGGTGGCTGCCCGACCAGAGAGCCGCTCAGGAGACTTGGAGATTGCCATGCATCAGTGGGACTTTGCAGATCCTACTGGAGGAGTCTAGGCCACTTGCTTACCACTTTGCTTTGCTTGTGAAAACTTTTGTAGGAATACTTATGAAAACTTTGCTATCTGTTTTGTTTGTGTTTTGGTAACTTGAGCTACTTGAGTCTTTGGAGTATTGTGCTGTTTGCGCAAACTCGTTTGTCTATGCTTTGTTCTTTCCTTCAAGTTCACTAACCAAAAACGATTATTTTCTCCTTTATTAAAACTAAATGGTTGCTTGTGTTATAAGTTAATAGCTATACATCTAATTATATGTCAAAATTTCAAGTTAAATTAGTTAAAAATCCCTAACCTATCTAAATTGGTAGAATAATTCACTTATCTCATCAAACAATAAAAATTCAAGTTCTATTGATAATAATAATTTGATATACATCTCTTCCTTTCTTGGTTTTGTTATGTTACCCGTTTTTTTTTTTTTTAAATAGCTATAAATTTGATTGGTTGGATTAGGTTGTTTTTTTGTAATAACTTTTCTAACTACTAACCCACTAATGCTTTTTACAAGCCATTTCAAAATCCAATACTCTCTGCCTTTTCTCTCGTTGACTTTGGTTGCTCTGTTTTGATGGCAGAGCTGGTGAAGCATTTCTCCCACGACTGCCCGTTGACTTCACCAGAGACCGTCTCAGATGGTGTATGCAACAGTTGCTTCAAAGAAAAACCTGTAGAATTCTCCTGCAATCCTTGTAAGTTCGATCTCTGTAAACCTTGCTCCTATTTGCCTCAGAAAGTTTCACACGATTTTCACGAACACCCTCTAGAGTTTTGTCTTCGTGAATACGACCAGAAACCCGATTACATCGTATGTTATGGTTGTGGAAACATGTCTTCTGGATCTTTCTACCAGTGTAAGGACTGTGAGATCTACTTGGATCTTGATTGTGCGATTCATGATAATATCTTTAGAGGTTGGGAATCCAAAGAAATCCTCCATTACAGCCATTGCCACTTGCTTAGAAAGAGTCGACCAGGGCCAGATGTGAGAGGATCTTGCCTTCTCTGTGAGCTTACTCTCTCTCCCTCTTCTGTTTGTTATGGTTGTGTTCATTGTTACTTGTTCTTCCACGTGGGTTGTCTTGATCTTCCGATGGAGATTCAACATCCTGTGCATCCGTCGCATGCTATTAGACGCCTTGATTATACACAAACTCTTGGTGATGGAACAAACTGTGATGCGTGTGGAGAAGATATCTCCGGTGTTCCTTTGGGTTGCTTACAATGCAAGTTTAATCTTCACTTGAGGTGTGCAGATTCTTTGTTGCGAGGCTTGGTTCACAAGTCTCATGGGCACAAGTTGTTTTATGTATCTACTAATGCTTACAGAGTTTTTGGAGAAGATAGTATGTGCCAAATATGCATGAAAACCGATGTCATCTCTCTTTACTCTTATTATCGATGCGTGGAATGTGGTTTGAAGTTTCATTTCGAGTGTCTTGAGATACTTGAGTCTGTGGTCAAGAAATCTCTTCACATTCATCCACTTGTGTGTAAGATATTCATACAAGAGGAAAATTTTTCTGGAGTATTGTGGCGTTTGCGAGACTATTGTACAAGAAGGACATCATGTTTATTCTTGCCAAGAATGTGATTTTCTTGGTCACATTGAATGCATTTTACGTGGGGTACTTTATATATGTCATTGTAATTTCTCTTTTGCTCTTAGTAAAAATGATGATAAGCTAACTCTTTCTCTCTAAATCTTTATTCGAGGAAAGCGTTGATCATGGGATGAAATCGGTTTTTGTTTCTTGTAAAGTTGACTTCATGAGCAAGTAGCATTGCTCCGAAAGCAGGTGTTGCTGCACTTGGGTTAGGAAAAGCCGGAGGTGAAACTGTAGCTGAGATGGTTAAGGCATACAGAGAAAGACGAGATTTCTTGGTTAAAACCCTTGGTGCGATCCAAGGCGTCAAGATCTCTGAACCTCAGGTCCTTCTCCTTAAATCCTTAAAGCTACTAGTAGCTAGTCTCTTCTTAATTATTCTTCATGTTCTTGAGTTTTGGCATTGTTTACTTGCAGGGAGCTTTTTATCTCTTTATTGATTTCAGCGCTTGTTATGGATCAGAAGCTGAAGGTTTTGGTTTGATCAGTGACTCTTCGTCTCTTGCATTATATTTTCTTGAAAAGTTTCAGGTTATATCCACAACTTTTATAAATTAGGTGTTTATACGTTTTATATGTTTGTGTTTAATTATAGGTTGCAATGGTTCCCGGTGATATTTGTATTCGGATATCTTACGCCATGTCACTCGACGTTCTTCGAGTCACAGTTGAGAAAATCACGAAACCCCTTGAGCCACTCCGTGCCACTGTCTCCGTTTAACGATTGAAACGTAAAAATTGTGTGATTTGATCATAAAGATGTTGTAAACTTTATATCCACTTTGTCTCCAATCCAATAAGAAAACAATTTGCTTTTTCCTTCAAGTTCATGTCACCGTAAACCATTATCTTTCTTTGTAAATCCTTTGTCAAAATTTAAAGAGGTTGATTGTGTTATAAGTTATTGATAAATAATAATTTGATATACATCTCTTCTTTTCTTGGTTTTGCTTTGTTACCCAATTTTTTTTTTATAACTATAAATTTGGTTTTGCTTTTTACGACTATTTTAAAATTCTTTAGCTGATTAGTAAGCCGATTTACAGGTAAACTTCTTCTTATCAAGAAGGCCATTACCACATACTAATCCCAACTGAACGGTACTCGAAATCTCATGTCTTTATAGGTGTTAGTTGATTGATATGATATATCTAAGACAAAAATTAAAAATATGTTTGTTGAATGAAGATAAAACCATTAGATTTATGTTCGACATATATGATAAAGATGTCATGATTGTTAACTTCATATTTCGAGAAGATGATTTTGAAAATCTTATACGCCCAAAATCTGCACGACATGAGCCTGTTGATTATTGAAGATTTCAATTTAGTGACTTTTGTTGTCAATGCTACAACATTGTGATTTCAATCCAACTCCAAACTAATGTGGTTGATGCCTGTGAACAAATACTTGACCAGCTGGAGTGCACGTGGCCTACAATGTTTGTCCTTAAAACTGATACTTGAATGTTACAGCCTAGAACTAAAACAAATCGAAATTGCATTAGAGTTTTAACTTCGACAAGTCTAATAATGTTTGTTGCATGCGCTTTACATATGAGAAAAGCTTTGACAACTTCACTGCAAAAGCCCATTTACATAAATTTTTTACTTCATTACAAATTTACCAAATGACTAACTACTCTCACTCTCACTCTCACGATCCACTCCGAAAAACGCCTTGGTCCACAACTGTAGCTCGTGTGTATAGACACAACACTCTCTCCCAAAGAGACGCGTTGGAGAGCAACCAGACCACTTCTAAGATTCGAAGTTTTCGATCATCCAAAATCAAATAAAATGTGATTTTGGTTTGTATCAGTGATCACGGATCTGCTAGCCATGTTGAAAGAAATAGAAGAAAATAACTTCAATATCATGTTTTTTTATTAACAACTAATAAATAGTAAATTCCTATTTACAAAATAAAATAAATACTTCACCACATTTCATAGTATATATATCAATATATGTATTTATTGTATTATTAATTTAAGCGAAAATCCATATACCATTCATATGGAGTTCTTATCAGATTTCTTGCGCTATTTGTGATGACAGATTGTATGGTAAAGCTTTGTCGTGTATTGAGTGCGAGGAGATATATCATCATGGATGTATTGAACTTGGGAGGAAAAGACTTCATCGTCATCCGCTTCATTCTAGTCATTGGCTTGAGATTTCACTTACAAAAGGATCCAAGTGTGTCGCGTGCACGCTCTATATCACAAACTACGGATATAGTTGTTCCACTTGCAACATCAGCTTCCATGTGAAATGCATCAACCTATATCACTATAGTCTTCATGATGAGTCTCGAATCTGCAGTGTTTGTGTTAGACCTTGTGGTGTGTCCTTCTATGGATGCATGTATTGATTGTAACTTCAACGCCCATATTGAGTGTATTGGATATCCAGACAACGTGAAGAACCAGCAACACGAGCTCAGTCTTGCACTTAAGGACTGCCATGGCAGAGGAATTTGTTCTAATTGCAAAGTTGCATGTGGCGATGGTAGCGTTTATACTTGCAATCAGTGCAAGGATATATTTCATCGGGAATGCATAATGTTCAAAGTAAAGACTTTATCGATAGTTTTCTTTTGGTTTTATTTTATCAATAGTTTTGGTAGAACCTAAACAATTACTCAGTTCTAGTTTATGATTTAAGCATCTTTGTTTATTTTCTTGGTATAATTCGACACCACACTGTTGTCAACAACACTAAAATTAAACGTTGAGACTCTTCTCCTTCTCCAGACCAATTTCTTTTCAAGAGTCTTTACCAGTAATAATTGATGTTACACCACGACCAATATACTAATTGGCCTAGAAACTTCTCACATGTTCAGTTAAATGATCATATTCATAAAGTAAACAGAAAAAAGGAAAACAGTGAAACCATGTGAGCAGAAAAAAACAAAAGAAATGAGAGAGGACAAAGAATGTGTGGCCTGAAATGGATACGGCTAAGAGGTTGAAAGGGAAAAGAAAGTTTAATATTTGATTGGTTATAAGTGTAAACTGTGATTATATACATAAGTTGTTGGTTTAAAAAAATTGTCTGCATAATTATTTGCTGTAAGAGATAGAATCTGATTAAAAGAAGTTACAAATGTTATAAGGCAAATTAAACAAAAGTAGAGTTTGGGCTAATTCTAGGGCTTGTAAGCTGATTTACTGATTCATTGGAAAATTTTAAAAGTTCGTCTATCAAACATTCTTTAAGCTTATATTAACCGAGGGAAATGAAGAGAGTTTAAAGAACTTGTATCTACAAAAAAAAAAAAAAATGATTAACCAAAAGAGTATTACATTCTCCCATATATACAGACTATTGTTTAGCTACTAAACAATGTAATTCAATTATTAGTTACTAAAAAACTCCATAACTAACCAAACAACATGTTAACAAACTTTCTACAAAGAATTCCTGTTTTACCACATCATGAAATTGACATCCAAGCAGATCTGGATATGATGAATTCAGACATAGAAACATTCAACTACGTATACGATATTCAAGATTTGTCTCGTCATTTCTAATATGACCCCACTCATGTTTACTCAAAAATAAGTACTAACCCCACTTCTTCTACTGCATTATTTTGTACCATTTACATTCACTCGCTAGGTCCACAATTATTCACGACTCTCTGTCGCTGACAATGACGTTTTACCTCAGTTGCACATAGATCTGGTTGCACAATACTCACCATTTGATGAGTATACAATAAATAAAGTCTATTTTGTAAAAATCAAAACCCCAATCTAGTTAAGAATTTGGTATTTACTTTCTTACACTAACATGCATCTAGATTTTCCCAAACAATGAACGACAAAGTAATATTTCCATCCCCAAAGTCCAAATGCATCAAACAAAAGTTGTCACTATTCACTAATCTCAATAGTAACGTTTTTCACTGGGACCAATTATGCAAAATGGTCGTTAACTTTACCGTTAATGGAGACGTTAACAATCTCACGCGCCCTTATCAAACTTGACATCACATCTTCGCCACGTGTCCATCCCACAAAACCATCTCCACGTAACAGATCGCGCGTGGCGTACACTCGTATCTTGGTGGCAAAACGCTGTCGTTTTTAACCGCTTCTCTTTTGTTCTTCTCTCCTTCCTCATCCCTCGGGTGCCTTCGAGCGCTTTCAGACAGAGAAAAAAAGTGGGACCCAAAAAAGCAACAACAAGACTTGTCTTCACGTACATCACGCCACGTGTATGGACCAACCTTCCAACGTGTCTCTCACATTCTCCTAGCTTCATCCGCACGTGCGAGCCACACACGTGTGGTTTAGCGGCTCTCAGGCTCTCTGGGCTTAAGAAGACTAGTGGGCTCGGTCGCTACTGACTGAGCCAACCATCTCCATTCGCTCCATCGTTGTCATCGAAACACTTACAAACCGCCACGTGTCCTTCCCTCTCTTCGTTTTCTCTCTATATATCATCGCCATTGTTCGTCGATTCCGAGATCACACCCAAAACACAGAGCATTAACAAACAAAAAAACAGAGAGAGAAAGAGTGAAGATGTTCATCGAGAGCTTCAAGGTAGAGAGCCCGAACGTGAAATACACAGAGAATGAGATTCATTCGGTGTACGACTACGAAACAACAGAGGTCGTTCATGAGAACCGTAACGGATCATATCAATGGATTGTGAAGCCCAAAACTGTCAAATACGATTTCAAAACAGACACTCGTGTCCCCAAATTAGGGTAAAAATTTTGAATTTTTTATTTGTTTTCCTCATTTCCTCTTCACGAATTCATCTGGGTTGCTTTTAGAAACTCCGAATTCTTACACATTTCTCGATTTTGTTCGTCATTTTTGTGATTTTAGGGTTATGCTTGTTGGTTGGGGAGGAAACAATGGATCAACTTTAACCGCTGGTGTGATTGCTAACAAAGAGTGAGTAATTCAATTTGTTCTCTTTTTTAATTCCGTTTCGATTTTGGGTTTGAGATTTAATAAATTTGGCAAATTTATTATATGTAGAGGAATCTCGTGGGCGACTAAAGACAAAGTGCAACAAGCAAATTACTTTGGATCACTAACGCAAGCATCTTCAATTCGTGTCGGATCTTACAATGGCGAAGAGATCTACGCTCCTTTCAAGAGTCTTCTCCCAATGGTGAATCCTGACGATGTTGTGTTCGGTGGTTGGGACATTAGTGACATGAACTTAGCAGACGCCATGGCTAGAGCCAGAGTCCTTGACATTGATCTTCAGAAACAGCTCAGACCTTACATGGAGCACATGGTCCCACTCCCTGGAATCTACAATCCTGATTTCATCGCTGCGAATCAAGGCTCACGTGCCAATAGCGTGATCAAAGGTACCAAGAAAGAACAAGTCGACCACATCATCAAAGACATGAGGTAATAATAACAAAATAAACATACACAACAGGACTACTTAGTTAGTGTACTGATTGTGTTTGTTTATGTTTTAGGGAGTTTAAGGAGAAGAACAAAGTGGATAAGTTGGTTGTTCTATGGACAGCGAACACAGAGCGTTACAGCGATGTGGTTGTGGGGCTTAACGACACGATGGAGAATCTAATGGCTTCTGTTGAGAAGGATGAGGCTGAGATCTCGCCTTCTACGCTTTACGCTATTGCTTGTGTTCTTGAAGGCGTTCCTTTCATCAATGGGAGTCCTCAGAATACTTTTGTCCCGGGGCTTATCGAGTTGGCGATATCGAAGAATTGTTTGATCGGTGGGGATGATTTCAAGAGTGGTCAGACTAAGATGAAGTCTGTTTTGGTTGATTTCCTTGTTGGAGCTGGTATCAAGGTACAAAAGAGAGATAGCTTGTGTGTCAAGTTAGATACTTTCTTGTTAGTGAAGTTAACTTGGTGCTTATTTGTTGCAGCCTACTTCAATTGTGAGCTATAACCATTTGGGAAACAATGATGGCATGAACCTCTCGGCGCCGCAGACTTTCCGGTCTAAGGAGATTTCGAAGAGTAATGTTGTAGATGACATGGTGGCGAGTAATGGCATCCTCTTTGAGCCCGGTGAACATCCTGACCATGTGGTTGTCATCAAGGTTCGATATTTGAATCAGAGTCATCTCAATTACTCTCTCTCTTTCATCCACATTTTCAAAGTCTTGAATAGGTCGATGTTGTTTGTGAATGTTGTGCAGTATGTGCCGTATGTTGCGGATAGTAAAAGAGCGATGGATGAGTATACGTCTGAGATCTTCATGGGAGGGAAGAACACAATTGTTATGCATAACACTTGTGAGGATTCTCTCCTTGCTGCTCCAATCATCTTAGATCTTGTTCTGCTCGCTGAGCTCAGCACCAGAATCCAGTTCAAAGCCGAAGGAGAGGTTCGTATTCTGCTATTTAGTACTCACCCGAGATGTCTGTGATTTGTATCAAAACTGAGCTTTGGATCTTTTATATTTCAGGGAAAGTTTCACTCTTTCCACCCAGTAGCTACCATACTGAGTTACCTCACAAAGGCACCTCTTGTTCCACCTGGAACACCGGTGGTGAACGCTCTTTCGAAGCAGCGGGCGATGCTGGAGAACATTCTTAGGGCTTGTGTTGGCCTTGCTCCAGAGAATAACATGATCATGGAGTACAAGTGAAGGAAATGAGGATGAAGAAGAAGAAGAAGAAGAAACAGAGGAATCTGAGACCTTAGGATATGTATGCTCAATTGTTTCCTTAATCTATATCATATTGTGTATACTCAATGAGCTGTGTGTGTGAGAGATGATATGAAGAAGCTTAGGGTTAATTTTGTGTGATGAAGGTATGGTCAGGCTATTTGGCAAGAAGATTAGCTAAGCTTTTGCATCAAAATGTGTAAAAGATTTGAGTAACTATGTTTGTGTCTCCTTGTATTATACCAAAATTATGATCTTTATTTTGAATAAACACTGAAATCTTCTTCATCAATCAGAGACAAGACAACAATAAACAGAAAAAACTTGTATAAACTGTGGAAAACATAAGCTCTGGTCTTGTCTAGTTTTCGGAATCACAGCAGAAGCAGAAGAAGAAACAAGATGTATCAAATGAAGACCAGTAATGGGGTCATGTGTTGAGATCAAGAACTACCAGCAGAAACCATCATGAATTCTCCTTCACAAACCAAAGCACCACCAACATAAGCTTTACCTTCCATCTTAGCGAGCCCGAACCGTTTCTGGAACTTGAGAAGAGTCATCCTCATGACCAGTGTGTCTCCTGCAATCACCGGTTTGCGGAATCTCACTTTGTCAATACCGGCGAAGAAGAAGTTATCTTGAGACCCTCCTACTTCCGGCTGCAGCATCACTATACCTCCCACTTGCGCCATTGCCTGCAACACGTAAACATTATCTCACTCTCACTCACTTCAGCCAAAAAGAGGTGATCTTTGATCAGACCCAAACGTTGTGAAACAAAATGTCCATTCAATTACCAATCGGATGAAGATCTCACACAAAAAGGGAAGACCTTTGAGGTTTTTGAACATGAAAGATTAAAACTTTAAGGTTTGATTACCTCAATCATGAGAACACCAGGCATGATGGGACGATCAGGGAAATGTCCAGGGAAGAAATTGTCATTGATTGTGACATTCTTGATAGCTACAGCTGAAACACCAGGCGTATACTCTATCACTCTATCTACCAGCAGAAACGGAAACCTAAATTGTCCAAGAAACATCAACAATGTCAAATCCGAGAATCAAAATTTCAAATCCCCCAAAAAAAAAGAAGAAAAAGGATCAAACTTTCAAAATTGGGTTTTATAAACTACTTAGAGAGTTGTACCTGTGAGGCAATATCTCTCTGATCTTGTTAATGTCCATTACAGTCGGAAATGCTGGGAATTCTGGGGATTAAGAAGAGATTAGAAGAGAATTGAAATATTTAGAATAATCAGAAAGTTGAGTTTTTTTTTTTCTTACTGAGTTCGATTGGGGTATCTTTTTCAGATGAGATGTGATCGCCATTGTTGGAACAACGAAGCGCGAGGGAAATGGATCGCTTGTTTGGTAGGAGAGAAACAGAGTGAGATCTGGAGGAGAGATGGAGAGTTGTTCTGGGCTGATTATGATGATGACTCAGTGAGTCAGAGCCCAAGAAGAGAACCACCGAGTTGGAAGTAGTAGCCATTATCAAATGGCAGTGAAGAGAGAAATGTGAGACGTTTTTTGCAGACGAAGAAGCGGAGAGTCCAAAGGTGTTTGTTGTTTATTAGATTTGTGCAATCAGAGGAGAGTCAGAGAGAAGAATCAAACACAAAGCTAAAAGTTATGTTTTGAATATGAATATGAAGACTCGCAAGGCCCATTAGCTCAGTTGGTTAGAGCGTCTTGCTAATAACGCGAAGGTCGCAGGTTCGAAACCTGCATGGGCCAATTACTCTATGTTTTTGGATTGCTTTAGTATATCATTTTTAATAATTTTTGGAGGTACAAATTATAAAGCTCAACAATATTATTATGACAACTAGAAATTGTCAAATAAAACTGAGGATTATCTGATGTACCGATAGTTCAATGTGTTTTGCGTTGGACTTTTAAAAATTCGACAGCATAATTCTATACCCAAAGTGTAAGTAAAATATAAAAAAATAAAGTTTCCCCAAGTCAGACGCAATATAAAAATGCCCCCTGATTAAACTTAAGTTTCACAGTTGCGTAATTTCTTTCTTTATCCTCACTTGTGTGATCCTATATATGTATAATCCAACGTTCTCGTAATAATCAACAAACAAGATTTGAGAGAAACTAAAGGTTTTGGTTTCGTTTAACGTTCCAAAAGTTTCTTTACAAATATATTTTTGTTGTTCTTCTCTCTTGTACTAGTAGGCCATGAATGTCTCAAATGAACCGGATTCTTGGTCCGATGAAGAAATTCCCGGTTTATGGTCTTCTTGGAATGACAGAGACTACTCTTGCATCTATAGAGTGCCGAACCAATTGCGGAGAGTGAACCCCGAAGCATACACTCCTCAGATGCTTCTCATCGGTCCTCTTCACTATTCTAAGAAATTCGCTAAAACAGATTCAAGGTATATTGTATATACAACACTTATCATCATCATATATATATATATATATAGACATTTCTTTGTGTGTATGTTACTTAGAGTTTATATAACTAAGTCATTTGGGTGTACACATTTCAGATATGTGGACTATATTAACATGGAACGTTACAAGAAGAGGTACCTTAAGGAAACTGAAAATCTATATGGGACTCAAACGGTGCAAGAGTTCAGGAGAATCATTGAGTTACATGAGCCACTCATAAGGGGAAGCTATGCCGAATCAACGGAGTGGATCGAGTCCAAACAATTCGTGGAAATGATCCTCCGCGACTCAGTGTTCATATGGCGGTTCATCGATCGCTTCCGAGAGCCGAACTCATATAACCCGAGAGATGTTCTTTTCAACCAGCCTTGTATTTTAGGCATTGTCTTCGAAGACCTCATCTTGCTGGAGAACCAACTTCCTTTCGCCACTCTAACAGCACTCTTCGATCCATTCTTCACAAAGCTTGAACGTCAAGAAACGTTCCGTGACAACATAATTAAAGTTTTCGGATTGGAGGAAAAGATCAGAAGGGATCTGAATTTCTTACATTTGACGGATTTGTTTTGGCATGTCAGTGTGGTGACACTTGGTGTACCGGAAGGGCTGCCATGGACGCCGATAACGCATCTGGTCAACGCAGACATGCTAAACTGTGCAGGAGTAGAGTTTGAATGTCTTGACAATGAAAGTGAAACATCGTTAGCGATAAAATTCGACGCGGGAAAAGGAATCTTGACAATGCCTCATTTCACAGCGAATGAAGGACACGAAAAGTATTTGAGGAACATTATGGCACTCGAGCAATCTCATTACCCTTACTCAGCCTATGTTTGTAGCTACATCAACTTCTTGCGATTCCTCATTCAAACTGAGAAAGACGTTGACTTGCTTGTCAAGAAAGGTAAAACCATGACCTAAAAGTTTCTTCTCTATCTTATAATTGACAAGCAACATATACTTAAGGTTTTTTTACGGAACTTGATTACTGTAGTTTCTCTCTTTCTTTTTTTTTCAATCTTGAGATTCTCAATTATTTTTGCATTACAAAAGGGATTATAAGAAACTGCTTGGAAAGTACTCAAGGATCAGTGGCGAAAATGCTGCATAAGCTGTGTGAAGGGGTCGTTTTCACCGGCTCTAACTACTACCATTTAGCCCAAGAACTCGAACAACACTGCCAACGCCGTTACGCCATTTTGTAAGCTTTAATTTTCTTTTCTGTGCTTGTTAATTAGTTAAACCTCTAATTTTTCATTAAATCACTTTTGCTGATCATTTGGTTGATAAGTTTTTACCTTTTGACCCCAAAAAAAAAAAGATATTACAACTTGTCGATAGCCGCACTCCGGCGAGTATACTTCAAAGACCTTTGGACCGGAACTGCCACGGTGAGCGCCGTTGTTCTCCTCGTGCTGACTTTGATCGGGACGGTGGCTTCAGTCCTCCAGGTTACGAACTCAAACAATTCCACAAAGTCACCGTAGTCTCCAGCTTCTCCCCGAGGACTCTAGATCGTTTCTTGTTCGAGAAGAAATAAATTATATGTTTTTATATCATTACTTAATAAAGGAAAATTATATGTAAACACACAGCTATATATATCATGATAAAATGTAAACACGCAATTATGTTTGGACAAAACGCAAACATAAACATAGTACTCAACATTCAACATCATTGTAATTTATTATTAATAAATTCATCGATTTTATTCTATTGAAAGATGTCTGTATATGTTGTGTAAATTCACAAAATTTATTGACAATCAGTGGCAGAGCTAGCCAAAATTTTGACAAGAGTTGTTCGAAAGAATAAATTCGTAATAATTCTTCTTTCTAAAACACACATGTACTTGATGTCCATTCTCATCCATGTAAGGATATACGACTGGTCAAACTAATATTATACCATCTTTTACGTGGATCAATGATCTTACTTTTTATCACATTTCATCGTACTTTCTATTTAAAATACATGTTACTTTTGGTTTAAATAAAATTCACATAGGTGAAGTGACCCAAAGCTAGTTCCATCACTCTTGACAATATATGAGCACTTTGCAAGAAGAAGTAGGAAGAACAACAAGAATTAAAATCATCCAAAATTTAATAAGTATAAATGATAATCATCTCCGCACATGACGCGGAAAACACCTATTTAGAATGAAATATCATTAGATTATTATAAATAACATGATTTAGCTAAACGACGCCGGTTCAAATTTAGTATAATGTACATTGTAAAACATCTAGACAACAACGCGTGTTCGAATCTAGTATAATGTGCATTGTAAAAATCATTGTAAATTTTTCAGTACAAATATCAGGACTAGGATTAGGCCTCTTGTTTTTTTTTCAATCAAGATAGAAAAATGAACCCTAAAAATCAGGACATGTCTGCCGCCGCCGCTTTCACCACCAACCAGCCCCCGCCACCAAACAATGATCCTTCACAGCCACCGTCGTCGTTAACCACATTACCAAATGACCTGGTGTTAAACATCCTGGCCCGAGTCACCAGATACCATCATCCAATTCTGTCTCGCGTCTCCAAGAAATTCCGGTCCCTGGTACGTTCCTCCGAGCTTCGCATGACTCGATCTCTCCAGGGAAATGAGGATTCCTTTTACGTCTGCCTTAGAGACTTTAATTCTCCTTCCTTGACCTATCATTTGTTCACTCTCCATCAGAATCGTTTAGTCTTGATCCATTTCCCTCCTCCGCGTGAGCAACACTCCACTGCTATCATGATTGGTCACGAGATCTACCTCGTCGGCGGTCATATCCATCGCACTCCATGCAAGAGCATGTCGATCATCGATTCCCGGTCTGGAGAGTTGCGTCAGGGTCCAAGTATGCGTGTGGCCCGACGCCATGCAGCTGTGGGACTTGTTGACGAGAAGATTTACGTCTTTGGAGGAGGCCAGCATGATGAACACAATTGCAACATGCAAGCGGAAGTGTTTGACACAAAGAAGCAAACTTGGGATGTTGCACCAAATCCGGAAGTAGATTTTAAACACATATCGATGTCGGTGGTAAGCCGGTCACTAGACCGAAAGATTTATGCGAAGAATAATACACATGTCGTGGTTTATGATCCGAGAAATGGTAAATGTGAGAAGATTGATTTACCAAATGGGGGTCTTTATTGCAGTAAAAGTATGTGTGAGGTAGAGAATGTGATCTACATTTATTGCTATTATTTTGGGTTAATGTGGTATGACTCTAAGAATCTGGAATGGAGAGCAGTTAAAGGTTTGAAGCTCCTAGGATATTGTTTATGCAGAACCACAATGGTTGAATACAACGGAAAGTTAGCTATTTTACGGGAACTTGAACACATGGGGAAGACGGATATTTGGTGTTCAATGATTGCTTTGGAATGGGGATGGAGTGCGTTGGAGATTGTAGGGAAGATTGAGTGGTCTCATCCCATACTTTCTGTTCCTCCAGGCTACCAGATTGTGCATTGTTTGGGTCGTCCATATTATTAATATATATATATATATATGTTGAAGGTAAGAATGGTACTGATGATAGATCAAAACATGTATGTTGTTGATGGTAGTAATGGTGATGATGTTGAATATTGTGAGGGTTGTATGAAGGATTATAGCTTAGTTAATGATTTTCATGTATGGATCTTAATAGTGGAAGCTGAATCAAACTATGATCGTTGTAGTTACTCTTATTTTGACCCTGTTTTGGATGATTAAGAATCTCTTTCGAGAAAATATTATTTTGACACTCTGCTTTAGTCCGATTGATTTGACGGGACATTAATCACACCTAACCTAATATAATGGGTTAAGGGTGAAGTAGGAAAAAAAAAAAAAAAAAAAAAAAAAAAACTATTTTCCTAAATTTTTGTAAATCTAAATCTTTTGATATTTTAATTGCTTTCTGTTCATTTGCATTCATATGTTCCCCTTCTGCGGTAGTGCCTCTCTGCAAACAGTGGAATTTTGTTCATATGGGAAAATCTGTGATGTTAAAATAAGCAGCTTCTTACATAAGCTTCAAGCTTAAAGAAGTCAGGCCTTGGTTTTGGTCATCTGAGACGATTGTTAGGCAAGTCACTGCGAGCACAAAAATAGAGAGCCACAAGTGATAAGTTACTCTAAACCATTCACACACGTTGTGAGAGCCAATAAAAAAAGGACACATTGGTTAATGTTGAATTTTTTACAATACAAATTTGAAGTACAACATAAAACGTAAAACAAATAGCTGGTAATCTTTTAAGTATAAATATTAAGATGAGAGGTCTTCGTTGAAATTTTTTCACCAAGGCAAAAGCAATCAATACAAAAGTCAAACCCTAAAATTCCAACCTGATGTCTACCACCGCCGCTTCCAATACCAACGACAACGAGCCACTGCCACCAAACAATGATGGTCCACAGTCACCGTCGTCGTTTTTCACATTACCAAAGGACATCGTGTTAAACATCTTGGCCCGAGTCACCAGACACAAGCATCCAATTCTCTCTTGCGTCTCCAAGAACATACGATCCTTGGTACGTTCCTCCGAGCTTCACAAAACTCGATCTCTCCAGGGAAAGGATGATTCCTTTTACGTCTGCTTTAGAGACTTTTATTCTCCTTTCCTATTTTTTCATTGGTTCACTCTCGACCAGAATCGTTTAGTCTCGATCCCTTTCCCTTCCCCGCCTGAGCCAAACTCTTCTGCTCTCATGATTGGCCACGAGATCTACCTCGTCGGGGGTTGTCTCAATAATTTGTGCAGGAGCATGTGGATCCTCGATTCCCGGTCTGGAAAGTTGCGTCAGGGTCCAAATAGGCTTGTGGCCCGCCATTTTCCAGCCGTGGGAGTTGTTGACAAGAAGATTTACATCTTTGGAGGGTACCAAGAAGAACACAAAGAGGTCCAAGCGGAAGTGTTTGACACAAAGACAGAAAGTTGGGATGTAGCACCAAATCCGAATGTGGATTTGAAATGCTTATCGATGTCGGTGGTAAACCGGTCATTAGACGGAAAGATTTATGTGAGAAATACTGCTGGACAAGTCATAGTTTATGATCCGAGCGATGGTAAATGTGAGAAGATTGATATACAAATGCGCGCTACTGATGTGTGTGTGATAGACAATGTGCTCTACATTTGGCAATATCATGGTGGGTTAAAGTGGTATGACTCTACGATGATACAATGGAGAGTGGTTAAAGGTTTAAATCTCGGATATATTTCTTCCAGCAGAATCGTATTAGCTGAATCCAATGGCAAGTTGGTATTTTTACAGGAATGTAGCACAAAAAAGAAGACGGAGATTTGCTGTGCAATGGTTGCGTTGGAACGAGGACCGAATGCGTTAGGGATTGTGGGGAAAGTTGAGTGGTCTGATCGCATACTTTCTGTTCCTCTTGGCTACCAGATTGTGCATTGTGTAGGTCGTACAGATTAATAAAGGCATATATGGGCAAGAATACACTATGTTGGTGGTAGTGATGATGATGTTGAATACTTTGCGAGTCATTTTTACATCAATATAGTTTTTTACAAGATTATAAGTTAACTAATATATTTCATGTCTCAAGTTTATATATAGTGGAATTTGAATCAATTTTATACTCATCCAAATTAATAGCGAGTCCATTCTGATTCCTTTTTTTTAATTCCAAATTCCAGACACGGTATTATATATTTTGGACAACTTTTTTAATCCAACAAGCATTATATGCACCCTTTTTGTGTGTTGTTTGATATGGTTGATTTATTTGGGAGGAGGTTTGCTTAGTTTTTTTAATGACAACAGGTTCGTTGATTACTATAAGTATCATTACTTTGACGTCAATACTCCCAAAATATGTTTTCTTACATTCAACAGACTTATGAGGCCTTTTCATTATCTGACTTCACTTGTGTTTTCTATCTAATAATATGATATTCTCGCGCAATATGCCAATATATATTACCTGATATTAATTCCGATTCACGTATTAATTTGGATATTTTAAAAGGTGAAAGATATAAATATATAAAGATATAAATTATTGGTAGAACTCGACTTTAAATACTTTGGTATATTTAATAAATCTCGTCAATTTGATTAAAAATCGGTTAGGGTTAATGCAAGACACGTAGAAAGAGCAAAACTCCAACACAAGCTTACTAGGATTCATGTCCTACGCATTAAAGTTAAAAAATATCACAGTCTCCAACTGTTTCCGTTGGAATCCGTTTAGTGCCTTTAAATGTTAAACAAAGCTATAATTGCTTCTTCAATTTTTTGGTACTATTTATTTATCATTCTCACCATATCCAATGCACCAGAAACCACAAGCAAACCATGTTGTGATCTAGGACACATATAATTAGGCGGATCATGGACACATTTTCGTGTGGTAATTCATATGAAAAAAAGGGATTTATTGATTCTATATACGTAAACGCAAACGTAAACAAACAATCAAGTTCATAAACGTTTCCGATCCAGTATACAAACAGTAGAGTATGTTTAGATATGTATATGCATTTTAATTACGGAAATTAATCGGTTTTATTCCACATATAACCTATCGTTTTCTTCTGTTTTTGTTGATCTATCGTGTAGAAAAGTGATTATATCCGTTGTCATTGTTTAAAAGATTGACGACTTTTGGAGCATGTCAAGAGTTACCTATCTAAGACATGTTCCTTTTAAACATTCATAGATAGTGCCACTAGCTATTGTAAGAAGACATATAGTGGGCTTCTTTTGTTATTTAAAAAGAAATTGTTTATTGTATATTTTGGCAGATTTAGCCCAATTGATGAGACAAAAAAAAAAAGAATCAATGAAATCGAGTCTTCACATCGAATACGGATTTCCTCTAAAGAACACGATATTGTCGTAGTTTGTCCTTCTTAATTTATTTTAATGTCTTAAGCGTTCATTCATATTCAAATGCGAATTCAAAATGATTTAACTAGAACTATAGGGTTATATATAACAAATAATTTTATTTGACCAACCTTATACAGTATCATTTATAGATTTGGTTTCCGCGCACCTTAACCAAAAACTTATAGCAACTTGATCAAATGATATTGACAAATTGATATTCCTACATTATCGTTGCTTTTAAATTAATATACCCCAAATTAAAGGCATCAAGCTTTCTATTTCTTCTTTCTTCCTTTTCATTTCTTTATCGGCAAGAGGACGAAAATGACTGAACTGGAATTTTTTTTCTTTCCTGTTTACATTTTTGTTTACCGGTTTATAAAATAGAAAAACACAAAAATGGTATGGTATTTTCATTTCTGAAAGTCTCAAACATTTCGAAGTTGTAGCAACAATAACTTAGCAAAATATCTTAAAAATGTGAGTTAATATTTAGTTATTCAGTTTTCATATAAACTATGGAATAGAGAAAGTTATTGTTGTTCCGGATTAAACAAATATCTTTGAAGTGCAGTTTTAATTCTTGCAACTTTTTTTCTTGGCGACAAAGATTCCCACCCATAAAAAGGAGCTTGGTGTCTCATCAAGTGTCTCTCAAAAAGTTAATGCAAATATTTTTAATATATTATTATAAATTTTATTTTTACTCTATAATTAGGAACAAAGTTCTCTTGGAAAAAATAGGCTCAACTCAAGTCAAATACATTTTAATTAAAAATAATTGAAACAATTTGCACAAGTTAGGTTTATTGGCTGATACATATTTGTTCAAAATTTGATTATGTTTACATTTTTTTTATAACGAAATGGTTCTAAATTCTAAATCAAAATAAGAGTGTTCCCCGCACCGCAGTTTTATCAATTCTTTTCTGCCAAGCATTTTTATCATTCTTCACCATTTGTTTTACTTATTATTATGTACTAATTATAGACTTATAATTGTTCAGTTTGTTTCGTTCGATCTTCTTATTCTACGTAACTTATACTTGGCTGTCACCATCAATAAGAAAAGGGGAAGAAGGAGGTTTCACTAGGTAACACTCATGTTGTAGACAGAACCACGCCGGCCAGGAAATGATAACATGACAGAACCTATCACGACCGTTGAAATCATCCACGTGGAATAATGATGATTGTCTCTTTCGATCACATCATATGCTGAGCCTCAGAGTTTGGAGATAGGATTTCTGTTTAGCAGTCTTCTGTGATTTAGTTCATGCATGTTCTCAAGGAACAAGAGATTCACAATAAAGATTATTATTTTCCGGATTTGGCACATAAAAAAAGATGTCAGAAAATTGATGAAAGATTCACTTTCAAGCGATCGAACATTAGAGCTAAACACATTAGCTAGTTAATTTAATAGATCGGTTTTTGTTTTCTGTTTTTTTTTCGCAAACCATGGCTTGTGAGTTGTATTTGATATTTTGGATGGAATGGATAGTACTCTTTATCTGTGTACTGGTCTGATCAGTCACGTGGTGGGTGGAGACAATTTTGATTCGTTGCACGTGAAGTGTCGGTTCTAAAACCCTGCTTAGAACTAAACCTAAAAGAAAAGATCATGCAAGATATACGTATATATTGTTAAACAAATTAGACAAAAAAAAAAAAAAAAAAAAAAAAAAAAAATCATGCTGCAGAGTTTGTATCTACATTTGATATAACATCGCATCCCATTAAAGTAGAGGTCCACGGAACTATAATAAGAAGAAACAACTACGTAGGAGCAGTTTAAGAGGTTAACAAACGGCATATCTACACATGTGAACATGTGGAATGCCTTTTTTTCTTCTATTTTATGGATGTAACATTCTGCTTTTTTCAACAACAAAAAAAATATTGTTGTTCTCTAATTCACCATTTCGATGCGCAAATTTTTATGAAAAAAATGCTTACGTATACTGTGACTGCATTATTATTCAATTTTTTTTTGCTTTTAAAATGGTTGCAGGACTGCAAACGGATGTAATTCGCTTGCGATCTGGACTCATCTAGTTATATGAGGGACAACATTTGTGAGAAAAAAAAAACATTTGTTGCATTGAACCGATTCATAGTGGAGAAAACAACTTTTAGTTTCTATTTGCACACTAGTACTAAAAATAAAAATTTGTAAATAATGAACAAAACCAATTTAGTTTGCAAATATGGATTAAACATGTTATCCGCTGTAACCATTCAAAATGTAAAGAAGATTTGGAAAAGGTAAAGAAAAAAAGTAGTAAGTGTGTGTCAACACATCATACATCAATGTAGATAGAAGAATATATGACAAAGTCGGGACATCATCACGAACTGAAGACTAAGATCCGTTTACCTTAAAAATCTTAACTAATCAACTTTGTTTTCTCATTAGTTCTCCAATGAGAACACAGAAACTATTAATAAGGGGAATTTGCGTAATTGTTTTTTTCTGGACTAGCTATGTGCTAGACGTTGACTGGACAGTAGATAGTTGTTAACTACTTAGCCATGTGGCATTTAATAAACTGCAACAGCTGTTAGCACAGTAAGACCTAATAAAAACAAAAACGTGTTCAATTTTAGTTTGGCGATACTTTTGTCTCATTATAAAATTGCATGTGAAAAAAAAACTAGAATTGCATGTTATGGTAGATTGGAGGAACAGGTTTATATGTTTATGTGTATATAAAAGTCTTATGATTAAGCACCCTATGACCCTAAAATATGTAATCGTGGAATCAGTTTCGATTTCGTACTTTCTTTTACATTTACATTCAAAAACAAATCGAACCAAAGTTATCGTCTGTTTGTAATACAATTTTAGTCGTAGAGACCACTCGCAGTATTAGAACACGTATTCAACCGCTTTCTCGTACACAATTATGAATACTACAAACTATTTAGACTGTCCGAAAATAATGTTTTAATAGTTTCGAAGGTTAAAAAATCTATATATTCATGTCTCAGCACTCAGCAAGTCAGCATGATCAAATTGGAGGGGACCACGTGGCGTTGATGGGAACGCTCCAACGCCAAATAACCAAAAGATATCCAAAGCAAGCCAGTAAGGAAGTCACCTATAGGACCCACAAGTACACGTGGACAGTTTAGTGGGACTCGCACTCGATGGTTTCGAGTCTTTCGACTCGGACACACACAATATCTGAATTTTCCTTTGTTTTACATATTTCCTTTGTTTTACATATTTCTTTTTAAATGTTAAATTATTCTCGCAACTATAAAATCAGTCCATCCCTTACTCTCTGTCTCTCCCAAATACACACTCGGTCTCATTTTATATTTTCAAATTCAAGTTTTCATTTTTATTCCTAAAATGGGTAACTTTTTCTTTCTAGCATTGTGGACTAACAGATCAATTCGTACGCACAATTACATGTAAATTTACGAGTTACTGATTATCTTTAATGTTCTCTGTTTCCATTCAGTGAGATTCATCGAAGAGAATATTACTAAAATGGTGGAGACAAATATCATCTCAAACTCTGAGGTTTTATACGAAGGAAATACGTCGCCGGCCACCAAAGTTCTTCAAGATTTTAAGATCAACGACGAAAACGTTGGAAGAGGAGGATTAATAAGATCATGGGTTGATTCCATGAGAGCTTGTTCTCCTACTCATCTCAAATCTTTCAACAACCATTCTTCTTGGATCGTAATGCTTTCTTGATTCCTCTGTTTTTTTTTTTACTTCTATTTTTGTTCTTACAACTCGTGTTTTTATTTTTTTTTAACTAATGGGAGAGAGAATTGTGAATTGCAGAGAGAACACCCATCAGCTTTGAACATGTTCGAAGAAATACTTCTTGCAACTGAAGGAAAACAAATCGTAATGTTTCTTGATTACGATGGTACTCTATCTCCCATTGTTGATGATCCTGATAGAGCTTTCATGTCTAAGAAGGTACGTTTCTAAAAAATATTTTGATAGACTTTTCAAAAGAGATTTTTTGCTAGCCTATAAAAAAGCCTATTTATGTAGTGTGTAAACAAGTGTTTTAAAAAAAAAGAATTATGCTATTTTTGGAACTTTTAAAATTTAATGTGCTATTTTGGAATTTTTAAAGTTTAATATGCTAGATTTAGAAACAAAAACTATTTTTGTGCTATTTTAGAGTATTTATCTTTTGTGTTTTACTTATTTAAATATCATGAAAAATAATATATTTGGATAAAATAACGTACATAAATATGTTTAAAGGATGCGTTGAATTGACATAGCTAAAACGAATTATACGTGCTAAATAAATCGACTTGTTTACAACTCTACTATTCACCGTTTTGAAGATAAAAAGTAGAATTTAGTTAGATGGATTATTAAGTATATACTCGAGCTAAAATAGGATAAGCTTAACTTCTAGTTTATTAAAGTAATTTTTGTGTCTGAATACATGGTTTCAGATGCGAAGCACTGTGAGGAAACTTGCAACGTGTTTTCCAACAGCCATAGTTAGTGGGAGATGCAGAGAGAAGGTATCATATAAGTAGATTTTAATTTTTAATTTTTTACTTTTAATGTTAATTATTGATTTTTCTAGCACATAATCATTTAAGTATTACTTTATTAAATCATATTTCAGGTTTATAGTTTTGTGAAATTAACTGAGTTGTACTATGCTGGAAGTCATGGCATGGACATCAAAGGACCAGAACAAGGACCAAAATACAAGAAAGTATGAATAAATAATAATATATTATAAAACAAAGTTTTTTTTTTGTATATTCTCTTATTTTTTCATATTTCTTGTAAAACAAATCCAGAAAAACCAGTCTCTTCTTTGTCAACCTGCAACGGAGTTCCTCCCGGTGATCGACGAGGTCACATTCTACCCCCAATAAGTTATGAGTTTTTTTTTCTTTTATTGATATCCACATTTCTAATATTTTTGTTATCTTTCTTTTTTTATAGGTTTATAAAAAATTAGTTGAGAAAACCAAATCGATTTCAGGGGCAATAGTTGAGAACAACAAATTTTGCGCTTCTGTTCACTTTCGATGCGTAGATGAAAATGTATGGATAATTTATTTATATCAAATTAATCATAGTCATATACAGTATATATCATTTAAAATAACAAATTAACCAACTAATAAATAAATTAACAGAAATGGAGTGACTTGGCCCTTCTAGTTCGATCAGTGTTGAAGAATTACCCCAAGCTCATGCTTACCCAAGGAAGAAAAGTAAGTTAACTAATTAAAATTTTCAAAGAAAAATAAGATGTTTTAAGTAGTTAATATCTCAACTAAGTTTTTTTTAATGATTAGTAGTATTATTTACTTTTTTTGGTCTGATTTAATTTCAGGTGTTGGAGATTCGTCCAATCATAAAATGGGATAAAGGCAAAGCACTCGAGTTCTTGTTAGAATCACTCGGTAAAGTATTCATGCCTAATTATTGATTCATTGGTTCATAATAAAATATCATAATGTGGTGTAATAGACTAATAGTATTAGATTTTGCTTGTAGTTTGAAAGTTAGACCTTATAATTCTTTGCCACTAATTTAAATGATCATTTTATATGTGTAGGATATGATAACCGTACCGATGTATTTCCTATATATATTGGAGATGATCGTACCGACGAAGATGCCTTTAAGGTATATGCATACATATATTCTTAATGTCTCGAGAGATTAAATAGTTCAGATTAATCGTTATAGAAATATTGATTGAAGTGACATTGTAACAACAGATTTTGAGAGAGAAAAGACAAGGCCTTGGGATTCTTGTATCCAAATACGCAAAGGAGACTAATGCTTCTTATTCTTTGCAAGACCCAGATGAGGCAATCTCTCACACTCTATTTACACATTACACATGTAGCAAATATTATGTATTTTCTTTTGGGTGTATTGTGGATTTAATTTTAACCTTTTTACTTATTTTTGATTTGATATAGGTTATGGATTTTTTAGAACGTTTGGTGGAATGGAAACAGTTAAGATGTGAGGCATGAAGAGTTTACTACTTAAACAGAGTACAGGAGAATCATTTTCTTTTTTTCTTTTTACTTTTTTTTTATTTAATAAGATTCTAACGTATCAGAGAACGAAAATGATTTTCAAAATATATATGACAAGAAGGCAAACAGAGGTTCTGGTTCCCATTTTTTTTTCAGCTTTGATTGTGTGACTAGTCCTTTGTTGCTATCCATGCAAATGTTCAAATTGTAAATATATAATTTCACCGGAGAAATATATCTATATATATTACTTGATTTCGTTTATGTGTTATTCTCATAATTAAGCGATTTGAAGAATTTTTTCTGCCACTAAAACAAAGAAAACACATAAAATTTCAATTTCAGTTTTTTCATATGCCTTATATTTTTGAAGATAATTTAGTATGAATGCTCATCTCATATGCAATTTTTTTATACGAATAATAAGCTTTTACTACAATCTTTGAATTCATTTTTACACCCATGCCGCTGCTCAGTTATCTAATAGCAACATTATGGAACAAGTATATATACTATGACGAATTATAGTAATACAAATACAGTCTTTGTGTAGTTTGTATGTTGAGATGAAACACTAAGTCATTAATCATTATGATGTAAAATATATAAACCTATGTTTTAGATTTAGCTGGTCAATATATAATCATTTGATTGGAAGGTGTTTGTGGGTCTTGTGGCCCCGGTTATTTTTCTATACGACTTCCAAAAGCAAATTTGGAGGATTTTGCGGGAATAATTGGTAAAACACTAAAACTAAAAGACTATGCCCACATAACTCTAAGTTCAAATCTCGATCGGCATGCCCCCACCATTTCGTATTTCTTTCCTATTCTTTTCCTCAGTTTTTGTTTTGTTTATTTGGTTTTGTAATTAATGAGACATGATGGGAGCTTTATCTTCCAATGGAATCTCATGTGAAGCTATGTGTTCAAACGTTTAAGTAGTCTTAGGAATAGAGAACATAAAATAAAACTAAATTGAATATTTTCTGACACAACTGTATGTATATATGTACCTGTACTCTTGGAATATATATGTGTGTATGTGCGATGTTCCAAGCTGCTTAGTGACATGTGAATGCATGTGGCTCAGATGCCCATATTAGAGGGAGCACAACTTTAATCACCAATCTTTTTACTTGACTAATCATCTTCTCTGACACATCTAAAAGAAGGATTTTTAAAAATAAATTCTTTTTGCAAAATCCAAATTTCTTTTGAGTGAATGGTAGATTAAATAAGACACCAAAATATAACAAACTTTTAAAGTAACAAAAAAAAAAAAAAAACTTTATGTGAACTTTTTTTTTTTTTTTTTTTTTGTAAAAGAATGTGAACTTTATTTTATGTAGTGCTGCGAAGGAAAGTAGAGAAACACAAAATAAGAGAGGCCTAGTCCCTAGACGTGCGTTCCAACAAACAAACCATGTGGAATAATTATATGGAAAAATAAATGTTTGTGTTTTGTTGAAAAGATAAAATTCATTTATATACATTAAAACGACCAACTCAAACTGATAACGTCGATCTATTTTAACTAATAACAAACATATATGAACTGACATTATTTTTGTTGTCTCCATCATGATATAGCAATATTTTATGCTGAAAGCCAATACTAATATTCAAGATCATATTACGTGAATTTTGGATTAGTGGTGTTATCTAGGCCATTCCAAATATTGGGTTACCTATCTTCCCTTCAGTTCTCACTTAAAAGGAGCTATTGCGGTGATCGAAAGTTGTACATAATTCGATCGAGAACTGCTCAATTAACTGTAAGATCATAATCAAAATTAACCACAAGAACATATTCGTTCTTTTATACTTTTATTCGGTAAAAAAGATTCCAAAATGGGTAACAATAATGTTCTCATTATTAAGAATGTGAAATTGGTCCAGAGTTGCCTTAAATAAATAACTGGACCTATTTGTTCCACTTTTGAGTGGAATATCTTTATACACAATTATTGTTTCTCCACTTTGGATTCGTGAAAGTGACTACTCAACCTTTTCTTGGTACGTAAAGTAGTTGTTTAGTTAATTGATTTTTAGTGTATTTTGTAAAAAAAATAAAAAATACCATATATATTCAATGTTCAGTAAATAAAACATTGTATTTTGAAATGTGAAATGAAGTTCAATAATCCAACGATGTTTTCTTTGCAAGGGCTGTTGTTATAGTTTGTTGTGGAGGAGAATTAAGTGTCGTAATGTTATAAGACGAATTTTGGACTTTTAGTCCTTTTTCTTTTCAGTTAGACGATCAGCTATAGAAATATAAGAAGCATGTTTAAAGTCCTGACCACTGAGCCAAATGGCTTTCACAAATGTATCATCATTTATGAAACTGCCTTACTCTCGCGCGCAAACAACATGTGTACTGATCAAATTCAGAACATATCTTTCACATTTAGATGTTTAAGAGTTAAACAATCGTTTCCAAAATTTCCAAATACGTTTTTCCATGTTACCACTTACAATTCCATGCAGCTTAATTTCCATATATATACAAAAGTCAAAAACTAAAAGCACTGAAACAGATCCCATTCAAGCTTGAAACTACTGGTGTACTTATACTTTGTAGACATTTGGTATATGAGAAAAGTTTTAGGAGTTGGGCTTTAACTTTGAAACTGAAATAAAGGAAAAGAAACATACCTCGTTTCTTCTGAATATAAGAAGTAGACGATTTCAAAAGTTTAATTAACCAGCTAAGCTAAATAAGTAAATATCCTAAATTGATTTGTAATCTGATACACTAAAAAAAGGACGCTCTGTCTATTGTGTTCTTCTTGTTCTCGTTTTCTTTTGTCGCTCAACAATATAGAGTAAAAACAAAAACATTTAGAGAAGAAAGAAAAAATGAACAATTGAACATTACATCGAAAAATATAATTTATTTAAGCACACTGTAATTCTAACAACGACACAATCATGTTATATATAAAAAAATATATATAAAGAGTGTCAGTTCTTGAACTCACTCTTACATTTCTCCGAAACAATCTCGACCTTCTTCGCATCTAATAATCCCTTAACGTTAACATCACAAGTCACCACCACATCCTTATTCTTTTTCACCGGTCCTGCTTCGTACACTGCATTCAGCTCCATCGCCAGCACCAAACTTATTGGTTGTTTCGAACCCCGAGGTGGCATAACTGCGTTCTTGGTTGAACCATCGAGCTTTAGAGTGACCTTGTTGGATCCAGACGCGGCCTGGGACAGCCTCGGGAATATCCCGCGTCCCAGTCTCTTGAGCTTGTAGGTCAAGGAAACGATTTCGTCTTTTTTCATCATATAGATTACCCCCATGTTAGACGTTGGATTCTTGGCTCTCAATGTGACCTCGAAATTACTAGGTTGTACAGAGATTTTCTCGATAGCAAAAACTGGAAGAGTTGGTTTGAAAACATAATGGAGGGTGAGAGTGATTGCACCGAGGATTAATCCGAAAGCGATCAAGATGATGAAGATCCACATAAGACGTTTAGAACACCAATTCTTTTTGTTTTTCTCCGGCTTATTTTGGCGTTTTTGGACATATTTTGCGTTTTCCGGAGGTGGTGTCCAATAGACTTGATCTCTCGGTACCTGGACAACGTAAGTCTCTAGCTCAGGGATTGAATCCGGAGGAGGAAGAGATGAAGGAGGTGTGGCCAGGATTGGAGAGAGATTAAGAGAATGGTTACGCCAATGTTGCGGTGGTTGATCTTGAGATGGCAATGAGGGGAGGCTAGAGGTTGGACGGTGCCAGACGGAAGGAGGATCGTCAGGCTTGTCATCGTCGGCTTCGTGGTGGGTGGTGGTGGCGGAGGGAGGAAGCCGGGGCCCCTCCATCAGAAGAAGAAGGTGCGAGTTACAAAATGTGTGGTGGAGATTGGTTTAGAGGGGAGACGAAAGAGAGAGAATTGAGAGAAGATGCGAAAATTAGGGTTTGCATGGGAAAAGTAAGTGGTCGTTGTTGCATTACTCAAAGTTTCGGTTGGCTTGGAGAAGATTTTGCTATTTAGAGTTAGCCAACTCACCTTCAATTCTCGTTTTCTGTTATTTATAAAACTACATTACAAAACCCATACATCTATAGACTATAATATAGTTTGATGGCGCAAAAAGAAACGTTACTCTCTTTGTTTGTTTAGTCTTTTTTTGTTAAGTAGTTACTGTCTTTGTTAACGGGGTTGACTTTTTAAACCAAAACTGAAACTAATTTGAAAAAAGTATTAGTGTAATGTTTTATAGATTAGTGTATATGTAAATTGTAATTATACACCAATCAACAAAATAACAAGATCATATCAAATGTGATTGAGTAAAACTAAAAATACTTTTATATTCTTAAGGAAAATGTATTTGTATTGCTATATTACCTATATATCAACACTTTGTAATAAAACAACAAATGGTTTGACCTGAAGTTTTTTCGAATGGCCATTCACAATTATTTCAATGGGCCTTTGTTGCTACCTCGGTGAGGCAGTGACAATAGTAACACACATAAGCACTTAAAATTAAATGCTAGTTACATGAAAAAATATCAAGGAAAATCTTATCTTCCATATGGCCTACAGTTTTATACGATCGGAAATTTTCTGAAAAGCAATAACAAAAAAAAGTACGTATGTTTTTCTAATCCACGTGAAACATGTGGCACTCAAATGGGAAAATCACAAGAAAACATAATAAAATGAAAAGTACGCAATCCACAATATATAATTATTCCGGTCTGGATGCATTGTGCCGACCTGTCCGCTGAGTAAACGACGTGCTTAAAACTTAAAAGACTCCAAAACATACCTTCATTTTTCATCACAACGAACCAAAAACCGCCACGTCAACTCTACACGCTACTCCGAAATGTAGACAACACATATTTTGCAGCAAATCTATTAATAGTTGGATTAGATCAGATCTTACATTTCTTACACTCATATCATATCACCAACAATGGCTCGCTCTGACTTTCTCCTCCTCTCCCTCCTCCTCATCGCCACCGTCTCATCCGTCGCATTTGCCGTAAGTTCCCCAAAATATTTTTTTTTGCTCTCCTATTTGTTTTTCTTTACATGCACATTACCACATTTTGAAATCTTGATCATGACACAACTGTAGTAGCACTAGTTACAAACACAAGTCCCATTGATTTAAAAAAAAAAATTCACAGGGCGATGACGCAGATTGTGTTTACACGTTTTTCCTCCGAACCGGATCCATCTTCAAAGCCGGTACAGATTCCATCATAAGCGCAAGAATCTCCGACAAATACGGAGACTACATCGGGATCCGAAACCTAGAGGCATGGGGTGGATTAATGGGAAAAGGTCACCACTACTACGAGAGGGGCAGTCTCGACATTTTCAGTGGGAAAGCGCCGTGTCTTCCGAGCCCGGTCTGTTCATTGAATCTGACCTCCGACGGCTCCGGTGACCACCATGGATGGTATGTTAACTACGTGGAGGTAGCGACGGCCGGAGTTCATGCAAAGTGCTCGCGCCAAAGCTTCGAGGTTGAGCAGTGGCTTGCCACCGATACGTCGCCGTATAACCTCACCGCCGTTCGGAATAACTGCCCGGTTTCTCTTTGGGAGAGTGTCGGTCGGGTCGGGTCTGAGATCCGAAAGTCTCTCTTTTGGATCGTGTGAGGTCAATGAATGAATGAATGTGTTTCTTGGAGACTTGTTCTATGTCTTCTTGTGAACGTGTGGTGGCAATAATGAAAATGATTCGATCAAATGGAATTTTTAATTCTGTGATTTTTAATCAAATGTTTAAGAGATGATAATCACTTGTTTGATGTATTTTCTTTTTGATAAATAAACGTTCAAAGCTGAATATATTGATGCTTTCAAATCCTTACCTTACCAATTACAAGACTAAAAAAGTAATATTTTTTCTTTCCACCAAATTATTAGAAATATAGTGACGGATCTTTAACTTTTGGTCTGCAAGATCATCAGATCTTCACATGGCTATCTGTCGGATCTCATAAACAAAAAATAAGAAGATATATTGGGTCAAGACTCAAGTGAGTTTTACACTATCAAATTATCAACATTAGCACATTTGACACTATTATAGATCGATATGACAGTACTCGGTGACTGAGCTAGCGACTTATGGGCTTCTGAAAAAATATACTGGCCCATAAAACGAAATGATTATCAGCTTATTAAACTCGACACGGGCCACATGGCGAGAAGAATGAAGATGAACTTGCAGCCAAACATTCCTTAAGATCTTTCGAGTACTAAAACGATTCACGGATAGAGACAACCTTGTAGCCAAACACACAATAATTAGATTTCCGCATTTGATACCCGATGATTTCGAATTCGAACCCTTTCTCATCTTCCTCGATAATCCCGCGCTCATTTGAATCGGTGCTTCCTGCGAAATTCGAATTCTCTCTCCATCGTTCACTTCCATGGACGATCACATTCTGATCTCCGACGGGGAAGATCAGACTACTCCACTCCCATCACTCTCGAAACGGGCTCGAAAGGAACCCATCTCTGCGATACTGATATCCGATTCCGATCCGACGCCGCAGAAGCAACCGCCGGAATCTTCGTCCACTCCTTTGTTCGTCCCTGATACACCTTTTCCCGATGATTTCTCTGTCGTCAAGTGTCGTCAAGCCGTAATTTCAAACCGCGATGACAAATTCTCCGGTTAGTTAACCCTCGATCTCCTCAATATTCAAATTCTCCGGGTTTTTTTCGTTATATGGATTGATTTTGATTACTGGGAAGCTTTTTCTACTTGTGAAATTTTGTGATTTCTGAGAAATTTCTCATTTTTTTTGTTAGTGAATTATCAGGTTAAGGTATAATCCACTTACTTCTGTATGTTGATATTGGAATCTCACTAGGCAAACGAGTCATATCTCTGGATTCTGAGTTCGAAGATAGTCCACAACCCGAAACTTCGAAGAAATATGGACCTGTGCTTGCTGATTTTAGGGAGCAATGTCGTGGATTAGAATCTGGATTCAGTGATGCTGATTGTAGTGAGGCCAACTATGAGAATGCTAGAATACCTGAGAGAAGCTCAGGTATGTTTACCCTCAAAATTAATAAACTCAAATGTATCTATCAAAGTATGTGTGGTGAACAATGATATGCTTACTTGTCTATGTTTCATTTTGGAATTTCCCTAGGCAAACGGGTCATATCTCTGGATTCGGTGTTTAAAGATAGTTCTCGACCTGAAACTTCGAGAAAGTATGAACCTTTTAGGGAACCGCATCATAGATTGGATTCTAGATTCAGTGATGCAGATTCTATTGAGGCGAGTACTAAAATAATTGAGTCAAACATTGGTATGCTTACCCCAAAACTAAACTCTTATAGAATATCTGATACTATTGGTGATGAATTTCATTTTCGTGTTGTCCACTTACAAATGGTTGTTGTTGTTTTCTTTCAGATGATAACACTAATTGGATGCATGAAGTCAGTTTTCCCCCGTCGTTGACCAGTGATACTATCGAGGTACTAAATTGTTCATCATTGGTGCAGGAACTAGGAGATTTTTAATTCTATTACTTGTGAGATTTTGTAAAGCTGTCTTTTATGTGACAATTCTCGATACCCTTAATGTGTCTTCAGAATTTAGTGTGTGTTGCTTTTGTTTCGTTGTATTGTGTTTCTCTTATTTCTAAATGGTACTAGCTGTATATACATTGGAATTTCTTGCTTCTGCCGTTGTTTTGACTTGGTCGAAAATATCAGGTAGATTCTGACCAAGAAAAAGAAAATATAAGCATCGAGAAAATGGCTCGGAAAAAGCAGATCAGAAGCCACAAAAGTACTGCTCTTCCGGGTGAAGCATTGCCAAAAAAGCAGCTGTCAAAGGAAGAAAAGATTCATGCAATGGAGGAAAAGAAGTTAAGGAAAGAGGTAAGTGCTCTTTACGCGGCTCTTCTACTTTGTGTTTCCTGATCAAATAGTTAACTGGATTCCATCATCCAGCAAGAGAAATTACAGAAAGCAGCCTTGAAAGCAGAAGAAGCTCAGCGTAAAAAGCTAGAGAAGGAAATGCAGAAATGGGAAAAGGGAAAGTTAGCCCTTAAATCTATTGTTGCTGAGATTGATACTAAATTGGTGGAAGGATCCATTGGAGGTACGAAATTTCTCTGTTCTTTATATCTTTGCTCTTTGACTCTCTTTTTTTTGTTTCATAGTTTTGACTGAGTGGCTCTGGTGTAATGTTAACATAGGACTTCTGCTTTCAAGGTTCTCTGAGAAAGGCATTACATTCCGCGTAGCACCTAATCCAATAGAGAGATCCATTGTGTGGACAATGACAATTCCAGAGGATATTGCTCCGGTACGATAAAATCTCAGTCGCTTTGGATTTTTGTAAATTTTTAATGTTATTATACTTTGTTGCCTCATCTTTACTATGCTGCAGGTTTTTCCCCAAGGGCCTAAGATTCCTTATGTCTTACTAGTGTATGAGGCTGAAGAGTTTTGTAATCTTGTTGCTAATGAAAGACTTCTAGAAAACATCTCAAGAGCTCAGGACTTCTACCCATTTTATACTGTATGCTGCCTCACCAATAAGTTAATGTCCTA